GAGATAGGGTTATCCATTGGAGCATACTCCAACCCTGTGGATATTCTTTTTGAGTTAGGCCTTAGCACCTTAGCTTCGGGATTTTTATGAGCAGAGAAAAAGGTTTTCACTTGTGATCTTTTGGTTGAAAGAAGTGGTGTTGGCACTGATATATAAGACAGATCCTGACTTACCTTAGTTTTTAACTTTCGAACTGGAGGAGAGCATGGCATAGAAGTGCTGACCACTTTGTCTCCCTTACAGGACAAAGCTCCTAACTAAATCTTTTTTTAACCCTTTTTAGGGTTCAGGGTGTGTTGGTATAGCTCGAAGTTGAAGTCATCGCTATCGGTTATCTCTACAAAATTGGACTAATAGTTAGATAAAAAATTAACTTAAAATAAAACCCCACAAAGTTGCCTTAAACCTACCCTAATACTTCATCCTATTTATTACTTACGAAGAGGTCAACCCTTGAGCATCGATGATGAGCTCTGCCCTATGTGTAAATTTTAAAATTTTATTCTGATTTGATAGATCAATGATGAAAAAGGCTATCGATATGTTTACAAAAGAATCGGGTCTACTCTTTATTCTCAAGTATTAACCTTAGGCTCACTATTTTTATTTATTTTTTGCATCTAAAGGCATAGAAAAAATAGCTTTTAATTTTTTTTTGTGCTTAGGCAATGGATAAAAAATCTTTTATTTGGTCGAGCTATGATATAAAACCACATGCTATCACTAAAATTCTTTTAAGATAAAAGAACTCTTTGAATAAAGGAAGAGAAAGAAGAATATTTAGTTGTTGACAAAAAATAATAAAAGTGACTATGTACCAAATAGAATTTAGGGTGAAATGAATGGTGGTCAAATTATAAGAATTAAAAATTAAAATGAGTAAATGATGAAGTGAAAACCTCAAACCAACCATGAATGAATCCCAATATACATAGAGCCAATGTGACTTCGATCTATCGATAACCTGATCTGAGGAGTTCAACGTTATTATATTGTGCCCCTCTTTGAAGAAAAAAAAAGTGGTACCCAAAACACAAACATGATATGCCAAGCACATATAAAGATAGTCTTCTGGATTTATCTTACCTTTAGCTTGCTCAACACGTTCTTGGGGATCACGTCGAGGTCACATGGAGTATATATAGGGACCTCAGTGAGTTTATTTTGTACCATAAGACTCTCTCCCTCACTATCACTTTCTCTGGCTGAGGTGTTCTTTTTCTCTTATTTTTTCTTGAAACCCTCATTGTCAGAAGAATTTGACTTTTGGGTGAGAGTCAAAACAGAAAAAAGAGCAATGGATAAAAATAACTTAATCTCAGAGAAAGAAAAGACAAGGTGAAGACCTTTCAGGAGAGGATGAGATGTCTAAAAAAACTGATTGAAAGGAAAAGTAAAAGTGACAAGAGGTGTAAAAGATAGAGCCTTAAAGAGGAGAATGACTGAAGAGGAAAGAAGGTTGGCCATAGAAGATGAATTGACTTAAAAGACAGAAAAAACAAGTGGATGTTAAAGTTCAAAGTTGATTTGAGCACACAACTCTTTCGGATTCAAAACTCACTTGTCTCTTGCCTTGGTATTCTCTTCATTGCGTCGTTGCCTTTATTCGGACATTGGGTTAAACCAATAAGCCATTTTGTATAGTTAAGGCCTCAAATAGTAAGGAGATTAGGTCGTCATCCTGCTGCCTTCATTGACATCCCTTTGGCTTTACCTTATAAGTCTCAGCCTCTTCAAAACTCGTACTAGAGGACATGGTTAGAAATATGTACAGAAGTAGGTGTAAAAAAAACTTTGAAGGCTAGAAAGCTATTGAGATAAAAAATTTTAGGTTAGATGGAGAGCAAAGAAAGCAAAAGATGAAAAATTGAAGCCCTACCAACCTTTTATATAAACGAGCTACATATCATATAGAAGACATGTTTCGCGCCATGTGTCGAAGCATAGGTAGAAAGACAACTTTTCATCTTTTTGCTTTAAATTTTTTCGTTTAAACCATCTTTGTCTTCATTTATTGCCATTAGACTGGCCTAATTAGATGAACTCCAGGTCCGACTATCTAAACTAGATAACCGTCAAGGGTAAATCAAAAGCTCGGTTCACCTCTAAGATCCAAAATAGAGGCTCAAATCCAAATTTTCAAAAAAAAAAAAAATACAAGCCTCACAATGGCCAGGTGAACTACAACACTAATCTCAAATCAACCCTGACAATTATCACCTTTTTAACTCTTAAACTGATTATGCACTTAATCTAGAACGCACGTGTAAGATCGGATAACCACCACGTCAGATCGTAGCTCAAAGCTAGTTATTGTCCAAAATCGACCTTTTCTACAATGTTGATCTTAGGCAAAGCATGCAACTAATCTATGACGCACCAAAGATGTTGGTAATAAATTTAACGATTTGATACTTAAATCGCCTGATGAAAGGATAGAGTGTTAGGCGCATTTGATAATCAAATAGTTATAGTGATCTTTTTTACTCTCAAAGCCTTCAACAGATAATCAGGAGTATCTTTGTTATTTATGTTGACCTGATATGTCAACTTAGCCTAACATAGTAAGTGCCACTTTCGCTTGGTCCTGTCTTAATTATCTCCTTATAATTTCCTTTAACTTACATATAAATATGAAAACTTAAGTACCATTAAAAATAGGTTGATTCAATTTACTTATCTCTCTTTTTTTACTTTTTTATCGATCTAATTTTTATTGATTTATATATTACAATGCAAACATAAAGAATATCACATGTCTTTGCTTTTAACCGTTTTTTTCTTTTGCATTCACAGGAACACTCTCGTATCAGAGTTTGACGCCAACAAGAAGCTATAAATTAAACACAAATAAATAGAGCATGGATGGAATAGTGTGCAAGAAAAGTAAAGCGGCCTTTCATTAATTTAGAGTCTGTCTTGAATGTCGTTCGTTCGTTCGCCATTAAAATAGCTTCAAGACAAAAAAAAAAAAAATGCTTACTGAAGGGTATTGGATTAATGATTACCAAAGAAAAATATTGAATTTTTTCATCAGTCGACGAACCATCGGCTTTATGGTTCCGAATCTAAACCACTTTTTTCGTTTTACTGCAGAGAACACTGAAAAATCGTCAAATGTACTAAGTAGTCAAATACTGTGTTTGTATTTTAGGAAAAGAAATAAATAATCACATCTATTGCATTTTAAAGCTGTCAAAACATATTATTTGAGCGGTTAAATGACTAAAAATTTAAAATTTACAGAAACGCCATAAATAATAATAATTATTATATTTTAAAGCATACAAATGAAATATTCCAAAAAAATAAAAAAATATTTAGTACAATTCAAATACTACATTTTTGTTAAAATAAATATAGTAAATAATAATAATTACTGCATAATAAATCATAAAAACATAATATTCTTGTTGGGGAAAAAATTACTACTCAATTAAAAAAATTGTGAAAAAAATTAATCACAATTATTGCATTTTTTTTCTAACAAACACAATATTTGATGTTTGTAAAGGAAAAATTTCTACTCAATTAAAAAAATTTTGAAAAAAATTAATCACAATTATTGCATTTTTTTTCTAACAAACACAATATTTGATGTTTGTAAAATAAAAAGAAATTTCCATACATTGATTTTCAAAAGGATAAAATAAAAAGAAAACATTTTTTATCCAAGTTAAATGTGAAATAAAAGTAATTTTTTTTTCTAAAATCTTAAAAAATTATAGGAAAAGGTAAATTTTTTATTTTAGAATTTTGAGTATTGTTGAGAATTTAAGATTACTCTTAAGAATCAGATACTTTGGAACCAAATGTAAAAATTTAAATACCTAATAACAATATTCTAGGAGAAAAACTCAAATTCTCCCCATCCAAACCCCCTAAGAGATTCAATCCAAAAACAATTTCATTTTGGGAAGTTATGCTTTATCCAAATCAATTCTGAAATTAATACTAAAAATGATCAAGCTATAATGAAATTTGAATATAATATCTGAATTTTAAAAATATTTAATGTAATACATAAATTATAAATTTATTAATTAATATAATATTTTTAGGATTTTTTTGTATGTCATGTATCATTATTTAAAATTAATTATATTCTGATGAATATTACATTAATTAATAAATTTATAATTCAAATATCACATTAAAGATTTTTAAAATTTAGATATTATATTAAATATTTTATTATAATTGAAAAATTGTTTAAAATATTAACCTTTCCAAAATTTTTCATCATTTTTTTTGTTTTATCTTACTTTTTATTTTTTATTTATTTTTTCGAATTTTCAATTTTAAATTTTTCCTTAATAAAAAAATAAAAAATAAAACAAACCCTCAGTTAAAGCCTAGAGCATACCTAAACTAAGCCCAAAGTGCTAATAACATACTCAAATTCAAGCTTAAATTGATTTTCTCAAAATCCAATTTAAAACCCATATTGATTACTCGACTCTCAAACTAAAAATATTAATATTTTGAATAAAATGAAATATTTACAATTACTCTTAATAGTAGACTATTAAGTAGTGTACTTTTATTTGACTTTGTTTGTTTTATTTGATTTAATAAATTTTACAAAAATTAAATTTACATTTAATTTTTAATGTTAGATATAAAAAATTACTAGATATTTAAAAATATATAATTTCAAGACATTTAAAATATTTAAAAGAAGAAAGATCAATTTACACAAATATAAAATTAAAAAATTTTACATATTTTTTTAATAATCAATTTTAATAAATATAAGGATTAAAAAATAAATAAAAAATAAATTAATTTTATTGCTTTAAATTATTAAAATTAATAATTAAAAAAAATAAAAAAATTTATAATAAAGGCACAATGTGGCTTACAAAAATCATAGCCCTCTAAGTAGGTTAAAAACCCTATAACTGCCCTTTTTTTTATTTCCTTGCTGTCTTTTTCTGCCATCTGATCTCAACCTTTTTGTCGCTGTCGTCTTTTTAGAACCGCGTTGGCTCTTGATCATGTCACCGACAGATTCCTCTTCCTCTCCACCGTCGGTTAAGGAGGATCAACCACTGCCGGAGATCAAACAAAAATTAGAAAGTGATAATAATAAAGATAGAAAGGTGAATGTTTTTTATTTTAATGATAGTCGTCGTGGAGGTTGTTTGAAGATTACGGTGACAATGACGATTACGATCTAGTGGATGATGAGGATGAATCTGATGATGAACGTGAGATTACTGATGAAGAGCTTCAGCAATATAAGGCTGCTTTTGAAGCCAGCGATGTAAGCCTGCATACATGCGTTTTCTCTCTTGGTTTTTGGGGTTTTATGTTACCTATTTCCCCTTTTTTCTTTAATTTTAGGGTTTTGATGTTCCATCATTCCCTGGCGTTTTTTGTCGCTGTCTAGTTACACCCGTTGTCTTGGATGCGTATACTCGTGAAACCCTCAACCCGCTTTGTGTTGCTGCCATGGATCACTACAATTATGAAAAGGTTAGCTTGCTTTGGTTTTTTTTTTTTCTTTTCATCTCCATCTTTTCCCTCTGCATCATCATCATCATCAATGGCCTTTTAAAAAAATTACTGAAATTACTGGATGTTTCTTTCAGAAAACAGACTATCAGTTTCTGAAGTTGGAAAAAGCAAATGCACAGGGTGCCCGGGGTCTTCTTTACTATTTAACCTTTGTGGGAAGGACTCTTAAAGATAACACTACTCAGATCTTTGAAGCAAGCGTTTTGTGGGGGATTCCTGAGAACGAAGGAGATGATCCTACGGAGGTTTACTTTTGTAGGAAAAAGGTTCCTTCTGCCACAACAGGTAAACAAATTTTGCACTCCTTTTTCACACTTATAGTTTGGTTTTAGGAAATTGATCTTTGTTGTGCCACTGCTATCGTAGAATACAAACTTGAGTTCTGTAATAGGTGTTTTTTTCATTTGCCAAGTTTCACTATTTTTAGAACAGCTATTTGATTATGAAGGATGGGTCTTTGTTTGTTGTTCTTAAACTCTCCCAGGAGGAATATCTTGGAATTAAATGACACGATGTTTCCTTTCAAATTCTGTCTTCAATCTTGCATTGATTTTGGTTAATTTTATTTTGGTAATATTTATGACATTGTTTGCCTGTTAGTATGAATGGATGCATAATAGTCATGAATTGCTTTTGCTATTTGATTATATTCATGATTATAATGTTTTTTGTTTGGTGGTTTATGTATGCATGAGGCTTGGATGTCTGGAACTAGTACAAGTCTTGGTACCCATTTTAGCCAGAGGTTTTTATACACATGAAAAAAATGGTGAAATAAATGGAAGGATTGAGACTTATGGTACTCTTGAGTGGTACAACGGAGATCAGTAACCTCATTTTGAGTTTTAGAAGCAAGTGGAATTCTGATTCACGTGATTGTGTTTTAATTAGCCCAAGATTTTACTTGAGGTGCTGGCCTTTGTTATACAATTAAAATTGATTTTACTGGTTGTGTTCTTGTGTTGTTGCCGATGTTTGAAGATTTTATGAAGGCAATGCAGCTGGGGGAAAGAAGATAAGCATAGAAAGTTGAGCACGTCTTGAAAGGAAGTATTGTTATATGTTAATGCTTCTTAGTTTATAATTTGAACGTCTTTCTAGAATAAGTAAACAAAACTCATTTAAAACTTTTGATTATGGACTATAACAGTAGGGTTGATTAGGTCCAATTTACGTCAGTATAAAACTTATTAATTTTATATATATATTTTTTAATCATTGAATTCAATAGATCTAAAAATAAAATTATTATTATTATTATTTTGCATTTATCTCTTATCTTTTAAATTTATTGAAATCAATAGTAATATATATATATATATATATATAACCAAAAAATTTTACAGGTTTTCAGCATTGAAAATTTTTTAGAAAACCTTTTAACAAAGACATTGGTAGTTCATAATTCCTTTACAAATTTGTTTCATTTGAACTAAAACTCGTAAACCCAAAGTTCTTAGTTGAATAAGAATAAAATACTACGACTTTTCAGACTTTGTTTTTTTTAGCCAAGCATTTACCAGATTCAATGAGACCATTCTAATATAGGACTTCGATTCCCCAAAAAGTGAAATACTAGTAAAAAAATTGCAAAACCCGTATGCCACGCGATCGATGGTTCGATCCACTTTTGCAATGAAATTCGTAAGCAAGTCACCTGAAATCAAGAATGAAAACCTGTTGCCGATAGCCCGTCCTTGCATAACCATTAAGCAAAGCAACCGTGACACTATTCTTTCTCTGGTATGCAGATGCTCTTTCTGCAAGCCGCTCCATCTCAACACATTTCGCTTTAAGGTCAACAATATCAGAAGCAACAAATTTATCTGACAAAACCCTCTTCATCACTTCTTCATGCAACTGCTTTCCAAGATATAACTCAAGTCCCATAGAACAAGCTTTTAGGGCTGTCACTAAAGTGAAACCATTTGGCTGAACACCATCTTTTTTCATATTACAATACAAATTCATAACAGGATATCTTTGTCCCTCGGATACTAACCGTAACATGGACGCAGTCCAAGATACAACATTTCTGTTTGGCATTCATCAAGAGCCTGGCAGGCGGACCCAATGCTCCATTTTTTTTTTGTATAAAAATTCAGCGGCCCATGAATTGCCTTCCCTAAGTTTAGAGATCTTTTTGCAGCAGAATCACGTAGCAGCCCAAACTAGTGGGATGAAGTAAAGTTTCTTGCAGTGAAATGTCACTTTATTGGGATGGTTTTCAATTTCGAAATTGAATTGGAAACACACAAAGCATTACATTCCATTGTATTTGAACCAAAGGTTCATTCTTTAAGCTTTAACATTTCTTCAGCAAAATTGACTCATGCACCGTTCGGGAGCCAAAGAAACGAGAGAACTGTTTCTACCTCCGACTGAGTCAGAGCCAGCAGCTAGTTTATACAAGACTTTTCTTCTCTCTCTCTCTCTCTCTCTCTCTCTCTGGTTTAAACACATTCCGCATGAATTGCGGTTCTGTTTTCTGGCCCAATAAAATGTCTATGCCCTTGGTCAGGGTGATCAAGTTGGACCTCCTTTTAGCCTAGTCCTTGAAGATTTAGCCCAAGTGAGTCTATAGCACTAGAATTTTTGCCCTATCAATCCACCCATGGGAAAACAGGTTGTCTGCTTGATCCTTCCAGGTGGCACTACTAAAAATCTTAATATATAATATATAATATATATAGTTTTATGAATCAACATTTATTTTATGGAAATATATGGTGCTTATAAAAATGTGAGGAAATTGAAATAACAAACAAGGAAAAAGAGGGGTGGACCCAAACTTAACCAACAAGAAGTGTTAAATGTGGACATTTGTGACGCATTGGGTTGGCCATTTGTTTTGTATTTGATTATTGTTCAATTTCTATTTGATATATATTTTTTTTGCATTATAATTTCTCTATAGTTAGTCTCTTTTGCATAATCATAACATGATAATATCAATTAAGATTAAATTTTAAATTTAGTTAGATAATCTATTTAAGCAATACACGTTCAACAGTAATTTGTTTGTCACATTGGTCTTTTGCATTTTTTTTTTAAAGATTTTTGAAAGGACAATTTTTTTATAGTGAATGAATTACAATTAATCAACTCTAATATTTTTAAACAAAATTAATGAGAAAAATAAAAAAATAAAACAATTTAAAATTTAAATTAATTGATTCATCTAATTATTTTAAAAAATAATATTTAATAATTTAAAATTTAAATCTAAATATATATAATTTTTTATTACAATAAATTACGAGTTTTTAAAAAATTAAAATAAAAAAGATGACATATATGATTTATGAACACACCACGTATCCAAGGAAAAAAAAATAAAAACAAAGACCCACAAAAAGAGCATCCAATGAAGACGTACACATCACTACGGTACCAGTCAGTCTTTTATTAAAGTGAAACCAAATGATAATCATAAACCTCATCCTCCCTAATTATTCAAAAGAAAATAAAATGTTGGAAAAAGCAAAAAAAAAAAAAAAAAACCGACAACCGATTTCATTTTGATAAATCCGCAACTTTCGTCGGATTTTCAACAGCGTCGTCTAGATTTTTTTTTTTTTTAAATAGTGCCGAGTTTTCTACAGAATTTGACCGAGATTTAACATTTGACCAGATTCGGGGGTTAAAAGAAGTAAATCCGTTTGTTTCCCAAAAAAGCGTCGGTCGAGCTTCACCGGCGTTCTTTTTTAAAAATAAATACATAAAAAGCGAAGCGAGCGACCCACACAGAGAGGTTTTTCGAAGAGAGAAAGAATCGCTTGGTTTATAAGCCAGAGACTTATATTTCTCGAAGAAGGAAGAAAGCGAGAGAGAGAAAAGCTTCTATTGTTTTTTTCAAAGCTTTTCTTTCTTTGTTTGAAGATAACAGATAAAGAGCCATGGCCATGGCTGAGTCAAATGGTTCTATACCTCGCGATGCAGAAAAGATCTATCTTGGTGGAAAGGTTCTTTCCCTTTTCTTTTAAAATTTCCATTTTGCATTGTTTTTCACTCCCTTTTTCATTTTGTTTTCCACTCCTTTTTTCATTTTGTTTTCGTTTCTCGGGTTTTTATTTTATTAATCAGTATTTTTATGACTGAATTGGGTTTTTAGTTTTATGGGAAAAGAACCCATTTTTTGTCGTGTTTTGAAAAGGTGAGAATATTGAGCTGATTCGAAATTCAATTGAATTCTGTTCTCCAATATTGAGAATTTAACAAATGGGTATTACTGGATCTATGCTATGCATTCCTTATCTGGTCAAATTTGTTTTTATATTTTTCTTTTATTTTACATATTTGGTAAGCTCTGGGAGTTCCATTTCTGGTTTCAACTGGCCTTTTCCTTTTTTTTTTTCAAATTTATAATGCAATATTTTTTGGTTTTTCTGAACATTCTTTGTCTTCTTAACTCTATTATTGTAATAGGGAATCCTACTTTGTATCAAACTCGTGTTTTTTAAGTGTTGAAATGTGCTGTAATATTGTTGGTTTAACAATGACAAAGATAGAACCTTTTTTGGGTGTATTTGCAGTTTTATGTGAATTGGGTGTTTGATTGTTTTGCTGATCTTGTGTAATTCTCTAATAGTATTTGTTGTTGCTATTGCCTTGGGATTTCTTTCACTATTTTTTTTTGATTGGTTGGAGATTCTTTCCTTCTTAGTTTGTTGCTTCTAATGGCAAAAGAAGTTGGATAATGGATTCTTCCCACTATTCATTCCTAGGGATTATTCAACGGGTGTTTGCAGTTCACTGAAGAAACCTTGGCTATACCTTTTTTCTTTTTTTCACTTTTATTATATTATATTAAAATTGTGTACCTGTAAATTTTTTTTTTTTTTTTTTTACATCAACACAATGTTAATGTCTTCTTTTAATATGAGAGATTCCATGCTCTCCTTTTAGACTGTCATCTCCTTTGGAAAATGCAATGATTGATATCAAGAACCACTCCTTTGATTTATCTTTCTTTTTTCCTTCTTTTGCAAAGTTATGTTATGTTGGATTTCCCTAAAATGGGTGAGTGCACATGGGAAGTGCTTTTGATGAATAATTTTATTTAGATATTTTAGGTGTTTCTTTTATTTTCTTTCTTTTTTTAAGGGTCACATGAAACAAATCATTTGTCTTACATAACTGAAACCTATTCTTATTGAATAACTACTTATTTAGTTAGAAAACATTATGGTACTCAAAGTTTCAAATGCATCTCTTCTATGATTGTTTGAAATGCTTAATTCTATGTATTTGTTGATTGGTATGCGTCTTTTATCTGTTTATAATTTGTGCTTGTGTAAACATCTGTCAGGAACATCATGTACGAACGTGGTGTGGTTCTGTATCTGTTATAGTATGTGGTGACCAAGACAAGCCAGCACTAATTACATATCCTGATTTGGCTTTGAATCGTAAGTATAATGCTGTCAGATACCATAGCCTCTTTCTTTTCGTCCCCAGTTATATAAAATTCAGGAGTATTCTTGTTTTGCTCATTCTGCAATAGCCATGCTATTTCATTCTTGGTTTTTGCTGTTAACTTGATCAATGTGTCTATTCATGCACATTGTGCATGTGAGAGAAATTCTTTGGGAAGCATTTGTTTCTCTTATTCGGTGTTTATCTCCAAATCTTCTTTCTAACAATTCCATTGTTTGTTATTTTTGTAATTTTCTCCAGATATGTCTTGTTTCCAAGGATTGTTCTTTTGTCCTGAAGCAGCCTCCTTGCTGCTTCACAACTTCTGCATTTACCATATTAGTCCTCCTGGGCATGAGGTCTGTAAATTAGTTGGCATATACCTGTTTTCGTTGTTTCTGTTGTATACGGACTATTTTATCTTCTGATAACATAATAAATCAATTATCGGATTCTATTATTCACATAGTATCCTTTCTGGTACTTTCACAAGAGTTCTTGCAGTTGGGAGCTGCTCCAATTGGTGCAAGTGTTTCTGCACATTGTGTTGATGACTTAGCTGATCAGATCCTTGAGGTTCTCAACTTTTTTGGGTAATCTTATTGCTAGTACTTTTTTGCATTGTTTTTACAAGACTTGTTTTAGCTGAGGCTGCCAACTGACTTAAAATAATGTCACTTGGCATCTCAGTAGGAAGCTATCAGATTTGGCTGGTGTAAATGTTTTGGTTGAAAAGGGGTGTCTTTTCCTATTAAGAGCAGCAGATGTCTTTGTTAACAATTTCATAGTTGAGATTCTGTGTTAACTTTGTTTCTGATGGCATCAGGCTTGGTGCAGTGATGTGCATGGGAGTAACAGCCGGTGCTTACATTCTTACTCTATTTGCTGTAGGTTTTGTTATGAATCCTTTGAGTACTATTATTAAATGTTTTTGATGTTAGTTCGCTAAAAAAGCTTTTGCATTGCAGATGAAATACAGAGAACGTGTTCTTGGTTTGATACTTATATCCCCTCTTTGCAGAGCACCCTCTTGGACTGAATGGTTTTATAACAAGGTTCCTTCCTAAGATTATAGTTATGCTTAACACGCTTTGTGCAAAATTTGCAATTGTATAACTAAAATGACTTATAATCTGTAGGTGATGTCAAATTTGTTATATTTTTATGGAGTGTGTGGACTGGTTAAGGAGTGTTTGCTTCAACGTTACTTTAGCAAGGTATCCTAGCATTTCCATCATAGTAATCTATCTTTTAAGTTTCTTTTTGTTATATCCTCACTTATTGAGTTGGTTGAATGATGAGATTTCTATAAATTGTTATAGGAAGTTCGTGGTAATGCTGAAGTTCCTGAGTCGGACATAGTTCAAGCATGCAGAAGAGTTAGTGCTTAAGCATTTCTTTTTCTTTTGGTTTTCTCTTCCTTCCTGCCAAGCATATATCTGGATTTGGATTCTCTTTCTGTTTCTTTTTCACCCCCTTTTAAATGTTGAATTTTCGAAAGTTGACATGACTTAGTCCTATGGCATGTTTGTTTCTATGGCATGTTTGTTTTCTTAGTTACTGGATGAGAGGCATGGATCAAATGTGATGCGATTTCTTCAAGCAATTAATAGGTACAAAGTAATTTGACTAGTTTCATATTGTAACTTCTTGTTTTCACATGTTACTTGTTTTTGTTACATTAAATAAAGTATTTTCAAGTGCTCAAGACTTTGTTCCCCTAATATACAGGAGACCTGACCTCACCAGTGGGCTGAAGAGGCTTAGATGTCGTACGTTAATATTTGTTGGGGATAATTCACCTTTTCATTCCGAGGCCCTCCAAATGACATCCAAGTTGGAGAGAAGATTTAGTGCCTTAGTTGAGGTAAGTTGTACATTAGTTTTTGGGATTACCCATGTAATAGCGATTACAGTGTTTGATTTGCTAATATGATGTCTATTGTGCACAGTCTGTTATCTACATTATTAGTTAGATACTCTTATTTGACTTGATAATGATGCAAAATGATATGCAAATCAATAGTGTATCAAATAGTCTCTCACCTACTCTCAAAATTCCATTAGAGGTAGGCCAGCCAGCCTGTTGGATGATAATAAGGATTCCCTTTCTCATTTGGTCCTTTGGGGCATAATTTTTTAATAACATTTTTGCAATGTCAATGAACTACTTTTTTTATTGCTGTTTTTAATTCATTCCTGAGTCTCATTTTTGATGATTAATGCTTTCTGTACTTAAATAAAAGTGGTGCCAAATCTATGCTTAATGGGGGGAGGATGCATTTTTCTGCAGGTCCAGTCTTGTGGATCAATGGTGACAGAAGAACAGCCACATGCAATGTTGATACCTATGGAATACTTCTTCATGGGATATGGGTTGTATAGGCCTAGCCAGTTGAGTGACAGCCCTAGGAGCCCGTTAAATCCGTTTTGCATCTCACCGGAGCTCCTCTCTCCAGAAAGCATGGGTTTGAAGCTAAAACCTATAAAGACCCGAATTTCGCTTGAAGTTTGATAGGGGGTTGAGAAAGATTGGATTTATTTTGTTTATAAATTTTTTTGGTTCTTTTTGGTCTTTTGAAAAAGAAAAGGTATATAATAAGGGTAGAGAAGCAGTTGGGGAGGGCCTGTAGATACAAGGAAGATATAGGGAGAGGGGTAACATGAGATCATTCTTTTGCAGTCAGTCATAAAGAAGTCGTTGAACTCTGTATGTAAATTCTAAACAGGACTGGGATTTATTCATTATGATTACGAGCAACCAATAATGGATATGAACTACCCTCATTATTGTTATTTATTTCCCACATTTCAGGATCTCTATTTCTCTTTCTCCTCTATTTTAATGGTTCTTATGCATTTAGGGGGGTTTGGTGGCACGTTGGGATGGGATAGGATGAACCAATTCAACGAGAGGAACGTGCCCGGTACCTTATTATGGAAGGTTTGGTATTTATGTTTAGTGTTGACGTTAAGTGGCCTCAGCCCGGGAGTCTCCAGCTTTTCGAAAATACAAAATCGTGCTGACAGGTTGGGTTGATTGATGACTGGTGGAGGAATGCGGAAGCCGTAAGTTCAACTTTTGATGTCCAATTCAGAAAAATATGCATGATAGTATCTGACAACATCAAGAAAGGAAATATAAGAAAACTTTCAAGTTTTCCCTGAAAAAGAGAAAGAGTCGTGCAAACTCTGTTCTCCTCAATCATCTTCCATGGAGGCGCTCGGAGTTCATTCTCACTTCTTGAAGAAGGATCAACAACTCCTCAACAAGATCCTCAAGGTCAATATCTCCATGAATTCGTGCAAAACCCCAAATTGCCTCCAACTTTGGCTCAATTGGCATATTCTCAACAAACTCATTCAAAAGCCCAGCTCTTCCAAAAACATCAATAACCCCTAAATAATGTTCAATCCTCCGGCGGAGCAATCCTTGTGTTCAGTCTTCATCAATTCAAAGTACATTACTCCTTCCTCTACAGCCTCTACACTGGCACAAGCCGATAAAATATTTGATAGCACAAAAGTTATCAACTAATCAGCCAACTACTATATAGATTCAGTGCTTCAGCTTGTTTGTAAATGCTGGCTGCTCTGAATCAAAATATCTAACCCATCACTGCACCATGGTTGAACAAAAGAAATGGTAGCCAACTCAAAAACTAGACTACTAGAGGAGCAAAATTAGAATAGTCTTAATACTCTGATCGAAATTTCCAATTGATTTGCTATCCTGTGTAAAAAATTTAATTTAAAGAGTCTTGTTTTGTGCTGCGACACAGTGGGATAAGAGGGTGATTCTTGTAGGATAGAAGTAAGTACTAAAAAGATATAGCAATCAGCAACCGGTTACTAAAATTACTATTTCATTGTTAACATATCTCATTAAATAATCACAATGGGAAGTCAAGGTCTCACTGTATAATGGAAGCTTAATGTAAAAGAAAGAAACATACTGTCTTTTAACAGCTTCAACATCATAGCATGCTCAACAAATCTGAATCTGGATGATCAAATGATATAATCTGACCACTCAAAGATAAATGAAGTGTGATGATCCATGGACTCTCCAGGGCATTCCTCGTACCTTGACGGTTTCTCCTTCCCTCCTATGAGCCTGATTTGCGTTCCATGGTTTGCCCACTCAAAGATAATGAAGTGCTGACGGTTTCTCATTCCTCGTGCCTTTTTCTCCGCTATTTTAAACTTAAAAAACTATGTACGGTACATTGAAGATGAATGAAGAGGCTCTTGCATATTGTGACAGTTACATTAAGTATTCAAAATAATTTGGTTTTAGGATAAATTATTGAAAACAATTAATTAAGACGCTAAGATTGATGATGATGATGATGATGAAATCGTACTTTGAGAGAATAACATTGCAAGCATGCATGTTCAATTTCTTTCATAGTTTCCATGCCATTTTTCATTGTTGAAACAAGCCAATAGCATCTGCATCATGTACTTTGCTTAGTGGTAAAGAATTATTCTGCTCTAAAGAATAGCAGGTTTCTTTTTAGAGGAAAACTACCCACTTTCTCTACTTTCTTTTTCCCTTTAAAAAGCCACTGATCATTAGTTGAACTTTCTATTTTATACTTCTGCTCTTTCACCTACTCACATTACTGAGGAAGAACTGCATCCCACTCATTTTCAGGTAAACTACAAGAACAGTCATTTTAATTTTGGACGATTTTTCGTTTTGGTCACCCTTACGTTTTAATCACCAACATTTTGATTAAATATTTCTTGTCAAGCATCCGTTTTAAACAATTATATGATTAAAAAAAAAAAAAACACTTACTCAATCGTTAAAGAATATAATGTAAATTTTTATTATTGGTTGATCGAAATAAAAAATTGCTCAAAATTGAGTGATTATTCTTATAATTTGTCATTTTTTATGTAAAAAATTTTGTTAACAAGTGACTTGAAAGCACTTATTGAGATTTCTATATTAAAAAATATTTTTTAAATGTATTGAAACAATCATTTTAACCATCAATTATTGAATTTAATACAAAAAATTATTATAAAATGTTAATTGATCTTGAAAAGGATCTTTAAAACACTGGCTAATAAAACCCTTACGAAAACGATCACATTATGCTTCAAAATCAGTGACATTAAATTATTTAAAAAATTAAAGATATGAAAGTGCTTTGCACATTAGACATTCAACAATTGCTGCAGTTCGTGAACTTGGATTATGATCTATGATGTAATCTTACCTCCTTTTCTTCTTCTTTTCATGTTTCTTTTAATTTTAATGAAACATCAGCGAAACAGTAAAAAATTTTGGACTGAATATGATAAAGAAGCAAAGTGGCTGAGGTCCTTCAACTGAATGAGACATTTGTGGTGGTCATCCCTCCCCAACTCATTGCTTTTTCTTTTTTTTTTTTTTTCATATTCAAATTACAAATGAATTTGTTTTCTTTTCTAGATTAATAATCATATAAATGGAATTAATTTTTTTAAATTTTTTTGGTCAGATGTCATATAACTAGATTAAAGGTATTAATAGTTTTTTTTTTTTTTTTGGATAAGAAAATTTTTTGTTTATCCAAACAAAGTAGGTAAATTTAAGTAAAATTTACTTAATAATATTCATGTAACAGGACTATTATATCTTATGTATTTAAAAAAAAAAAAAGAAATATAATTAAATGGAAAAGGAGACAAAAAAGTACGACTCTCCCCTTTGAAGTGATTGTGACACAACCAATTGATGGACAATTTTACAAAAAAAAAAAAAATTCCCAGTTGCCTGCATTTTCAAGCATCTTGATATTTTATTTTTTCTAAAATTCGAGGAGTGCATCCTAGAAAAACAGCATAAATGCTTGAAAAACACAGCTCCTTCTTTAATTGGACCTACAAACAAAAGATTTTTTTTCTTATCCTGTTGGATTAATTTTTATCATCGATATCTCAATAGTAAATCATACTTCTCAAGCTATTAAAATATCCATCTCCCTATAATCAATTCCATCATTAATTCCCGTACATCTCATGAATGTACTATTAATTATATGGGACAAGATTATTTAGGTAGAGCTTTTTAAGCGGAGTTTCAGAAATTTTTTATTAAAAATAATTCTATAAAAATTTATTTTGAAAATTAAAATTTATGAATTGATAGACTTTAATAAAAAATTAATAATATGGAAACAAATTATTAAAAAAATTATAATCAAAATTTAATCAATACTTATTTAACTAAAAAAAAATTATGTAAAAAAAATTATATAAAAATTTATTAAATTTTGTACATTTAATTTATGTAATAAAACTTTTTAATCTATATATTTAAATTTTTTTATTTAATTACTTTTAACTGGAAACTTTATGAATTTAATCTAAACAACTCCACCTAAGTTTTGCTCTAATTATATGATCATGACTTATAGCAATATGAATTTCTGAAATGGGGGAGGGTGATGGTTAAAGCAAAACTTTTTCAACAAAAACAAAAAAAGGCATTGGTGTAGTACTTCCATTAAATTTTCTTTGTGCCCAAGAATTGGCTTCTAGCAAAGTGCACTTAATTAGTACATTCTTAAATGGAGAGGTTTGATCAAAACACACCACATTTTTCATGCACTGCTTTTTTTTTTTTTTCACTTTTTGGGTGCAATATTAGAAAAAATCGAATTCTATGGGCTTGTATGGAAGAAAGCAAAGTGCAAGAGAGCAATTACAAAGCAAATCTTACCTCAAAACTCTATAATATTTGAAGATTATGGTTAGTACAAAGCCTAGCTAGTACATGTTTTAGTACAAATGAAAAATGGAGCTGGCAGAGATTTGGAGATTCGCCTTGCAAGTTGATTGCTGATTTCAAGTGTGTTCCATTATTTTTCCTAATTAAATTGGGATTATTATATTCATTAAAAATTGGCATATACCCTTTGTTAGTAATTGGATGATTGGAGGCTTCTCATAAAATCCAAAACCTTTATTGATGGGATTATAAATACGAGACATGCTATGATATATTATTCTTACATTTTTTTCGCTTCTTTTCATAAAAAAAATTTTTTTTTTTGCACACTTTTTTTATTGATGGATGGATGTTGATTAAGGTGATAAAGAGAATTTTTTAATTATTTTTTATTCAAATTTATGAAAATATAAATTTTTATAAATTTATAAAATTCATCGCAAATAATTTTATTTGAATTAAATCGAGAATTAAGAGAATGTATTAGACAAACTCCAAGAACTCCTTGTCCTCCGACAAAATTTTGAACTTGAGTTCAGTTTTAGGCATTGTGATAAGCTAAACAGCTAGATTAAAGAGAAGTAATTTCCATTTTGTAGAGTTGAGGACAGAGAGGAAAATAAAGAAAATAATGAACTGTATATATCAATGAATATATATAATACTATATGTATAGTATTAATTATCTTAGTTAAATATACTAGAGTCGACTAGGATGCTTCCTCTCCAATTGGTATAAGATCGATGTAATTGCTATCAATTAGAGATGTCAAGGAAATTATTTTCCATCAATCATACAACTAAGGTAAATTAAAGCCTTTGTGGTGCGGTACCAATGGTCTAATCTTCGGAATTATACCAACCTTTGACTTTGCTATTTTTTTAATATTCAATATTTTAAACATAAGTCAAGTTTATCAGTGTTAATTTAAAAAAAATTATAATTTGATATCTTAATTAAGATATTAAATTTTAAATTCAATGGGATTTAGATGTTAACGAATAAGGTGCTCACTATTTTTTAAATATTTATACTCAAATTTGACTATTTATCAAGATATCCAAATTTGATAATTATTCAAATACTTTTGATTTGTACTATCCAAACTCTACTCATATAATATAAAAAATATTCATTAATTTTTTAAACCCCTTAAATATCCATTTATTAAATCAAAGTTTGACTTTCAAAATTAAATTTAAAAGCAATTTTAATACATAATAATAAAAATTAACTCATAAAAATAAATTAAAGTTAAAAATCATAATTAAGATATTTAATGAATTAATTTAGTGTAATATTTTATTAATAAAAATAAATTATAAATAAAAATATATTATTTATAATCAGGATTGGGTATGGATACCCTAAAATCACTACCTAAACTTGTGACGGGTAATTATTTTACTGCTCATACTGAATGATAAGACACCCTAATGCTATTTAGTAGGCTCGATTAGGTTCGGGTACTCGTTTATGGGATATCATTGCCATCCTTTATTGGGGGTATTTATGTCACACATTCTATGAGATTTTTTTTTATTAATTTTTCTTTTTTTATTTATTTTACTTTATATTTTTTTATGATTTTAAGTTTTAAATTTTTGTTTTTTTATTAAGTATATTTTGTGCAAATAATAAGCTAATTTATGTATTTACGTATCATCTTAATTTAACTTTTACCTTCCTCTTTTCTTAATTAGAATTTTTTTTAAAAAAAAAAAAAGTGAACAGAAATAATAAAATAAAAAATTTTGATCCGTGACAACACACGGATATTCACCTAATAAATTATAATTAACATCATGCACTTGCTGTAAGAAGTAATTTAAGGTATAGTCAAACAAAATTAGAAAAAAAAAGCTAATCTTGATAATATTATCTTATGTTTTACATGCAAGGAGAGAGATCCCTTTTTATGATAATGCCAAATAAATAGCCTGTTTAGAATTTTGCAAATGGAGTTGTTTTCTATGTCAATAAGAAAAATATTAATAAATCCCCCAACTTGGCCTACGGATGCTTTGTATTTATAGCTTAATATCCTTAAAACAATCTAGTCAATAATAATAATAATTTTATTATGAAACAAATGGTAGTAGGGTAAGATATTTATTCAATATAATATAATCTCAATGATCTCCCTTCCATTTTCAGTTCCTGACTTCATTAGTGGCAAATGGGGATCTTTGCCAAAGTCATGGGCTGCAATTACACAGAGGAAAATATTATAAACAAAGATATTTGTGAGAGATGTCAAACAGTTTAAGATTGTCCTGTTTCTTTCCTTTTGTCGTCTGCTACCAATTTCTTTGAACGATCATTTTTAAGGAAGAAGAAGAATTTAGTGACCACAATCGCTCAAGTGTTTCAACTCTTCAATTAATGGGGTCAGGACAATATGTGTTTTTTTTTAGCATTGATAAATTGTTCAACTATTTGGAAAAAAAAAAAAAAGAATTTGAATTTATTGTATTCTGCTAGTACAAGTTCAAGCATTTTTCTATGGCTTGACTTAGGAAAAAATTCATCAGTGTCGGCCCCAGAATTTTGGTGAAATAATTAGGAATTGAAACATTCAAACGAGAGTATTCATAAGTGGGTTCTCCCTCAGCGTTGACAACACGATGAGTTTAGTTTTATTGAAATTCCCATGGATTTATATGTTTGCTGATCAACATCATGATATTATCAACTTTCAAACTTTGATTTTCCATGATATTTTATTTCCTATCCCTTCTCTCAAGTCACCTAACTACCCACCTCCAAACTATTGGAGGATCCTGTCCCCTATCTCTTATATTTCTTGATTAATTTTTTTTCCTTTTTGTTCTTTTGTTTTGGTTGGTTTAGGAGTGAACGCTATTTATTTGCAATAAAGAAAAGAAAAAAGAAAAAAAATAAGGGACTGCCATGTGGTACCCCTTGATCATGTACAGTTTATTCTAGCATAATCAAAATTGAAACTTTAAATATGCTATTATTTGTTTATTTAGTCTTCCAAACGTATAACGTTATTTTGAATGTTATATCAAGGCCCTGCGCATCATTAAATTATATATATAATTACTAAGTAATTAGAGGAAAATTATCCATATATAGTTGGATTTGAATTGCTCTATAATTCACATCTACAGAAAAGCCAGCTTTTGTACAGATTTTCTAGCAAATTATGCTCATAATTGTGATTTTGATGTTGTTAAGTTATTTTCTCCTTCTGCTTAAGGTAGATTGTTACAGGAAGACCTCTTAAGTGTTGCAAGGGCTAAGGCCTGTGTAGTGTAAGCGGTTTAACCGCTCTGTTGCACAAAATATAAATATATATATATATGCATATATACACGTATTTGTATACTTGTATATGTAGACTGTAGACTGAGAGTTTGTCCATTGCATGACAGTATGTTTTCATGGGTCCCAATTCTACAATATGTACATATTATGCTAATCACCACATAGTGTAGAGAGGAAAAAAGAAAGAAAAGATGCGGATGGAGCATGAGATAATATTAGATATGATTTCTTGAAAGAGAAGTGTGCTTGTAATTTTCTTTTGTTTAGAACCCAAGTTGGAAAAATATCCAACTATAAACTATACCTCCATTTTCATAAACCCCACCTTATTCCATCATCATATAAACCACCAAACATCTCAGTTATTTGCTCTCTCTCTGAGTTTGTTATCTTTGGGTGTTGGTCTGAGAAGTTGAGCTTTGTCTGGAAGGAAATGGGCAGGAAGTGCTCACATTGCGGAAACACAGGCCATAATTCAAGGACCTGCAACACTTATAGAGCGACTGCTGTGGGAGGACTTAGGCTTTTTGGTGTTCAACTTGACATGTCTTCATCATCTGTTTCCATGAAGAAGAGTTTTAGCATGGATTGCTTGTCTTCAGCCCCTCCCTCATCGCCCTCTCCTTCTTCTTCTAGAGTTTCCATCGATGAAAATTCTGATAAAACTTCCATTGATTATCTATCTGATGGTCTTATGGGTCGATCTCCGGACAGGAAGAAGGGTTAGTTCTTAATCAGTACCTTTTATATTATATATCCTTTGATTGTCATCATATTCCTTAATTTGGCATCGATTTTGCTTATCTTTATGTTGTTCGATCTGTTCATAAAATCATCTGCTACAACCTGTTTTGATCATCTTTATTCAGCCTGTTGATTGACTAGAAATTGATCAAATATTACTTATATGATGAAAAAAATTTTATTTTTATCAAAGAAACTGATTTAAAAAAAAAAGCTAGTACTGTAATAGTTAGATTATAACCATAATTAGTGTTTACATGGTTTGGATATTTAGGAGTTCCATGGACAGAAGAGGAACACCGAACATTTCTACTTGGGCTGGAGAAGCTAGGGAAAGGGGACTGGAGAGGCATCTCCAGAGACTTTGTGACTACAAGAACTCCAACCCAAGTTGCAAGTCATGCTCAAAAGTATTTTCTTCGACAGTCAACTCTCAACAAGAAGAAGCGACGTTCGAGCCTGTTTGACATGGTACGCACGGTTTTTGTTCAATTCTAGGTTTAATTGCCAGCTTTATTCCTTGGTTATATTCTGATAATCCTGATTATGAAACCATCTGTTAAGATTTTATTTCTTGTTCTGAACATGACAGGTTAGAGGCAGTAGCGTGGCTGGATCTCATGTTAACAGCTCTAACTCCCAGCCTAGTCATACAATTCCTCAATTAGGTTTGCATCATCATCATCATCATGCCATGCCCGTTAACCTGGAGCATGGGTTCAGTGATTTCCGGACAGAAACATCAAATGCAGCACAATCTAGCAATATCTCTCCAAATGTGGCGCCTGATCTGGAGCTCACGCTTGCCACCCCAAGGCCTTTAGAAGAAAATAAGTCATCCTCAAGAACCCTCCTTAACAGACCTATTAGCGTTACTTGACAACTTTGCAAGGATAAGATATACTGAATGAATAACCATGTCATTTCTGTTCAGGCTGATGAAGATGAAGGAACATACTATCCAGATTTAGGCAATTACTTTCGTTTATGATACATAGTTAATTTTTTGATAATACACTCATGGGTGTTTTCGGGTTTTGTTTGGATCTATTTTCTTTCTCGAATAATTTTAAAAGGCGACATTATAGCAGAATCATCCTTTTATTCTTTAATTTGCCAATGATTGCAGAATGTGAATTAGCCTATTGCTGGGCCTAAGCCATTTCCCCATTGTTTTTTGGTATGTGAAAGGACCACAAAGTCAGAAATAGCAGCAAGAAATGAATTAACTTTATGCATGTTTATTGTTTGCATTAGCGATGATTAACAAAGGCATCTTTCCCTTCACCACCTCCTCTCCTCCAAAGGAGTCAGATTTTTTTTTTTTCTTTTTCAATGCCCATACCGAACCACCTTTATGTCTGCTTTTGTTCATTCTAAAATGGGGTCTAAAAGGTGATGATTTACAATTGTGACAACTTCTCACTTCATTTTACTCCTAGCTGTGTTAACAGCGATAGATGTAGAAAAGAACCAAAGTGATGATCATTGAACCAAGACAAAGCACCCTTTAACTTCCTCTCTTTTAGAATAATACAAGTACGTATCATCCTTGTTTGGCTACGGGGAAAAGATAGGGAAAGGAAAAGAAGAAAGAAATGGAATCTGACCATGTGGGATTGTAAATGGTTGTCTTATGGTTTTAAAGTGCTAAGAGGAAGAAAATTTGTTGCTTCTTTTTCAGAGTTCCAAACTAGGAAAAAGGTATATGCTGAAGTGTAAATTGGTTCAGACTTCAGAAACTCAACTAAAATCAGGAATTTCAAATTAGAATTTGAATAATGTTGACCTATACAACTTATTGGAAGACAAAAAATGTTAGAAAAATGTCATCAAAATTATTCAAATCTTAATCCAAATCTGCCTACCTCTTAATTTCTATTTCATCTTTTTACAAGAAAATTTTGTAACTTTTTGTTTTTCCTCTTTACAGCTGGTCCACCTTACTCTGATTCTCTAGAAATTGATCAGGAAATGTTGATGAAGAGACTGCACTTTTTTATGAAAAGGTATATTCATGGCACATAATAATTGACGTTGGTGAATAAAAACATAAGAAAAGACAAGGTATGTCTTGTCATAGAAGGAAAAAAGGGACCATGCTATTTGCTTCTCCATAGATTGAAACTTCAGCTATCAGAAAACATTATTCTGGAATTGGGCCCTGTTACGGGGTCCTCTTCTAAGACAAAACACTGCTTGGCCAAACTTTCATCAAATATTTTCATTTCTTTTCTCTTTCTTTCCTTCCTACCAAACGGGTAAAGATCCTGAATTCGATTGACAGCTACAATATTCCTTGTTCCTGGGGAAACAAGTAGAATTTTGGTAACGTATACATATCAGGATATTCTTCTCTGTAATAAAAAAATCTTCAATTTCTTGAGTTGAATTATTAAGTAATGAAATAATAAATTAGCCTGTCAAAACAAACCAGACCAGAAGATTGAAACCGAAATAACAATTTGGAAAAAAAAATAACCACTTTGACTGCTGACTTTTAAAAAATTGTCAACACCCTCAAAGACTTCAATGCTGTTCAAAGTTAAAATGTCTTTGAAAGTTCAATGAATATAGTATTAACTCTGATTAATTCAACCCCGCATATGATTCAACCCAGTAATTTTTCAAGAGCTTTGACATCATTTAAATATCTTCCAATTTTGTTTTGATTGGCTGTGGGACCAAAACCTTGGATTTGTGCCAGTTCATGCATGTATATGACTCAGATGAAAATGACTCGTGTTCCAAAATTTTAGCATTGAAACAAAAGAAAATTGTGACTAGAAAACTGGCACACCTCCAGGCAATTTTTGACTCCACCTGCAATAAACTTGAAAGATAAGGAAAACAAGTATGGAAATGAAGCTTGTCCTCAAGCTTAAAAACTTGGAATAATCTCCACATTATCACCTTGGAGCAGTACTGGCATTTAATTTTACCATTTTGCTGTTGAATGGACAACCATTGAAAGGACTTGAGAAGGAGTAAAGGGGGATCTCAATATCTTCTCCGATCATGGTATTGTAAGCAAACAAATAATAATAGCACATAAAAAAATCAACGACATCTAATAATTTCAAATAGATATTGTGATAAGATATAAAAATGATAAAAAAATATATAATTTAAAAAAATATATATTTTATACGAAATAAATATAACTCAAATACATATTGTATCAAAATAAGATCCTATGGATATAGGTAGCTTTCTTGGATTTCACTCACTTCTGCCCGTCTGTCTGACGAGTGATGGACTGGTTTGGTTTGTCCAAATTGAAATTCATATCTCACAATTATGATCACTTTTAAGACACAGTGACATTTCAACAAACAAGACATGTTTTTATTTACTAGCTGTAAACATCAATGAGGTGTCAAGTTCAGTTCTTTGGAACCTTTTTGCCAGAGCCAAGCAACCTTCTTATTTCCCATCCTTTGTGTACTCCTATGGATAATAAAAGCTTTATATATATATATATATATATATACATATTCCTATTTGATCTATATGTATCTACACCTATCGAAATCAGATTGTGACATTAAAATTTGTAGGAAAAATTTTTTTTATTTGGAAGAAGAAAGATTCGAATTCTATTTTGAATTAAAAAATTATGCAATTATAATTGAATCAAATATGATGTTTAATATAATAATAGTTTTTAACTAATATTTCTTTCTACTTAAATTATTTGAATGGTATTGATTTTTTCGAAATTAAAAAAAAAAATTGACCATAATGTATTTAATATTAAAATTAAATTTGTTTATAAAATTAAAGTTTCATGACTTTTAATGTCAAAAAGTTAAAAAAAATTCAAAAAAATTTTAAATATAAAAAAGTAAAAATTTTAGATATTCAAAAAAAATAATCTTAAAGACAAAAAAAATGAATAAAAAATGGGACAAAGGGAGTAGTATGCAATTACAATTTACAATTGTACAATTTTAGTACTAAAGCCATTTCTTTTTCACGTCAATAATAGCCAAAGCTTGTGTCGCATTTGCCTTTGAAAAATGTTTAAAATGTTTAATCTATGAGCAACGTACCAATAATGACATGTACCCAAAAAAAAATGCACCAATAATGACCCTAATGTTAAAATATATATATAAGTATAGAATTAACAAGGACTTGGGTAAAACGAAGATGATTATAATGAAGAGAAAGAAATCATTGGAAAAATGAATATTTTTCCAATTTAACATGAATGTCATGTTCAACATTTGTTGCTTTCCTTAAAACTATTGTTTTGGCTTTTTTATGGGTAGAAAGTTATGTCACCAATGACATCAAGTTTGCGAACCATGTTTTATTCGTGTTGTTGACAAGGTCCTAATTGGACAAATCTCAGGCCAAAAATGTGGGTAACCCCTCAATTTTCTTATGGAATACCTTACTTAAAAATTACTAATAATTTCCTTCACTTACCTTTCTTTTCTTTTAATTATTAATCCTAAAATTTATTCGGTTATAAATACTGATTAAGAGTTGTTAAGATGTTATTTTTTAATATATTTATACATATATATATTATTTATGTACCCCAAAAAATTACATTTAATGTATTATTTTTATCACATTTAAAGAGAAATAATATAGTTATAAAAGTTATTAATTATTACTAACATTTACAAAGTTAAATGTTAGAGGAAAAGTAATAATAAACCAAACAAAAATGTAATTTGAAAAACAACTACAATCAAAACTTGAAATTTCAAACTAAATAAATGTTTTGTGATTGATGAAAAGATACCAAACAAACTATTACTTAGCTTTGTCTTTATAAAGTGTAAGAACGTGTAAGAAAGCTCCACAAATCCTTATCAAAAATATAGAAAAAAAAAAAAAAACAATACTGTCGATTTTACCTACTTGAAGGCAATATGATTTTTCAAATTTTAATGATCGCTTTCGTAATAAATTAACATTTGATCTACCCATATATATAATAAATATTGCATTTAAAGCATAATTAATACTTGTTATTTTTGTTTATATATATATAGCAATAGGCAATAGCTCTTAGTGCCAATTTATAAGGAAAGAAATAAAATAAGGCTTCAGGTGAACATTAATATTTACAAAAGAAAATAAAAAGGTAGGAACTTGGCTTTCATTACAGGATGCGAAATTAAAAAAAAAAAAAAAAAAAACCCGCATGCGAAGGTTAGTAAAATCAGCAATCAAATGAAGGAAAGAGGGATTAACTTATGATACTTTTATTCAAAATCAAGATATTCCTTCTGCTGCAACAATTAATCATTATTTCTTAAATATAAACAGTTGAATAAAAGTTTATCAAATGATCTTAATATGTGAAACAAAATTTTATTTTACAAGATCAAGGTGCGGTATCCACAGGAACCAAAACATGAACAGATACACTTGCAATTTGTAGCCTGGCTAATAGCTCACCCAGGAAAAAAGAAAAAAAAAAGAAAAAAAAAGAAGGATGAAATAAAACAAATAAACCAATCAATTGAACTGGCTAAAAGGGAAAAGATTGAAATAATACGTTAGAAATGGACCCTATTTTACAAAGGTCATCAGGGAAAGTTTAATGTGATGATCAGAACCAACATTAGGAGGAGGAAGGAGGATCATATTTATATTGCTGTTCATATCTCAGTGCTGGCTGTTTTTTGCACGGTCTTTGCTTGGTCATGGGAAGGTGGGAATGGAAAAGAACCTGTTCACTCAGTCAACTTCCTTTGCACTTTTAATCACCTGTCCTCCAGAGTATAACAACCCCATCAGGTAAAGGCTGAAATTGGCAATTTTCTGGTTCATGTTTTTATTAATTATCATGAATCATGAGAGCCTTGGACCATCAAAGTAATACGCTTAGCACTGTCCGCCCGAACAGTATCTCCTTTAAAACCAATCTGGGAGGAGAAATCATATTCAACATAACCTCAAAACACTTGTTCCCGCAAGAATCAGGTAAAAATTTAAAACAGGTGCAACCCTCTCTTCAGTAATCTGTTATCAGAATAATAACATTATACCATTAAGTTTACATTCAAAGGCAGATGGATTACCTCAGCTGGACTATCAGCAGGGAACCACCGCAAGAGCACACCAAGATGAACAACAGCTGGAATCAGCTTGAAAAGCAATGGAGTAGTCACCTGCAAGATTATTTTACGAGCACAATTTGAACCTTAAAAGAAATTTAGTTTAGTGCTTTATCATAGAATGCTATTTTAACAACAAAAGAACTTCATGAAATTGGCTAGTGTCAGCTAAATCAGGCACTTAAAAGGTAAAGTTTCCATTCTGAACCGAAAATGCTTAAACCAATTGCATTGTTTCTAATAGACTATTGTTCTGGAACCTATAAGCAGAAGAAGCAACTGCAGCAAGACATTTATTGCAGTTGCACATGTTCAAACAACCCGCCAGTTGCATGTTCACTACTCACAATCAGAATAGTAAACCCACAAAGATTCTCAAAAGTCATTTTTTTTCTTGAATAGAATATAATGTCAAATGCTAATGCAAGCACATATAATGACTCACATACCAAACTAAGAGCTGTTGTGCCCAGAAGTAGCCGGTAAAGTTTACCCTACAGCAATGACAAAAATTTCAGCAATACTGTCAGTAAGGAAGCTTCAGAAAAAAGAACTGAAGTACTTGTTTTCAGATAAAGGTGCATGATTTTCTTAACACTTCTAAATTCAGATAAAAATGTATGATGTTCTTAACAACACTTATAAATTAAGTAAATTCATCAGTCAGATAACACTGTAGGAGATCTGGGCAACCTCAGGGTTACAGGAAGGTGGGGGGTGAGAGAGAGAGAGTCAGACACATACGCAGTAGTAACTTCAATTATATGATGATTAAAGCAATGGAGTTCAAACCTCAACCAGATGAAGATTAGAAGCACGACTTAGAAGAACAAAAGCAAATTCTCCAATCTGGGCCAAAGACATCCCTACCTACACAATAAGTTAAAAGGAACTAAGGTCCCTTTATAGAATGATGTCAAAATAAATACACAATGCAAGTGGTATGCTCAACTCATACAAGAATCGAAGTTTTGTTGCTGTATCTAAATCCCTTGACAACTGCAGCAACTACCATTGTTTTAATAATAATCACCAATATTACAGCTGCTAGCAATATATCAACGTGATTCCAAAGGAAATGCACATGAATCAACATCCCAATACTGGCAAGGAAAAGAGCAGCAAAGAAATTGCGAATGGGTTCAACCTGTATATAAGAGAGAGAAAACCAAGGCAGAATTTCATTGGTTAGCAGATGTATGCATAAGGAATCAATGCATAACAAGGCAAGAACACCATTGTAACATACTATCTTGTATTAGTTCAGAGTACAAACAAAAAATATGAATAAAAAAAAGTTCAGATATACTAATATCTGAACTTATATTCACAATAAAGCTCTCATGCATGCTTCATAAACCAAATTAAACTTGAGGAAAAAAGTTCCAGTAAGTAGAAAATACCAATTAAAACCCTAGAGGCCACACCGAGATGGTTATGGTCGTGCCTGATGGACACAAGACTGTCCTAACTGCACATCTAGTACAGACAGGACTCTGAATTACCTTACTACAAGAACCACTCATCTTACACCATCAGTAATTGCCTTTAGCTGATTCAATAACATTAAGACTGATAACTCAGTCTAGAAAGGGATTACAATATTTACTCTGTGCAGAGATGGCCAATGAGCTCACATAACAATTGATTTAAGTAGGAAGTTAACATATTTTTGATCATACATAAATCTACTTCACAATGCAAATCACTTAACCACAAAAAGGACTTCGAGAGAAGCATAACAAAAGTAATCAGGCATTGCAAGTTCCAGAAAGAGTACACAAAACTAGAAATCTTACTTGTTCAAGCGTATGCTGACCCAGATCAGTGGTTGATATCATCACTCCCGCGGCAAAGGAACCCAGCTCAAGGCTTAGACCCAGCTTATCACTACACTGGAGTTTTACAACAAGCAATGTTACGTGTATATATATACACATAATTGTAGATTGCTAACCGAATGAAAAGGTAAGTAGGTCTTTTTGGTTGGAAAAGAAAAGCTGCAAGAATGAGCAAGCACAAAAAGTGAAGAAACTCATGCAATAAAATGAGAGATCGTTCTGATGTTTATGTTGCAATGAAATGCTAAGTTCATTACAATGCAAGAAGTAAGAAGGGAATGAGCAAACCCAAGCAACAAGCAAGCAGAATGCCACGGATGCCAACTGATAGAGCTCATTAGTCTGTGCAAGTAAATATTTGTGTTAATAAATCTCTACATGGATTAAAGAACAAAACCAAATAATACATGTTACCTCTGATGATAGGCTTATCATGAGCTTAAGAAACCATGGGACACAAGTCCGAGATAATATTGTCAAAATGGCCAGAAATGAGATTAAAACCACCAACCTGAAGATTGACAGAAAATTTATCATTAGAAACCTACAAACAGAGAAGATCTTTGCCTCACCTGAATCAAAGCGAGCTGATCCTATAGATTTTTCATTTACGATTTAGTCATGGATAATAATCCTTGAAGGATGCCAGAACTGCCACCTAGAACTGGAAGTAAAGCAAACAGCAAACCCACAGCGCAGTCCTGCCAACCATAATAGTTCAGAACTTCATACTAGCTAAGTATCTATGCACAACTAAAGTCAATATTCTTTTGACTGATATGTTGACCGAGAAAATAAATACCTGTAAGATAAGAGTTCCAATTGTAACCTGACCATGAAGGGCACTTGTACTATTCCTTTCCATCAAAAATTTCAAAACCTGGAACCACAAAATACAAAGCAGTCATCATGAGAGTAAAAGAAAACTACTTGTATATGGAAGGCAAATATTTGTAAAAGTGATTCCATGAACAAGCACCTGTCTCTATCCAAATTGAGAGAGAAATTAACCGACAAGCTCAAGATTCATGCAAACTGTAATATACTAAAAGTTTTCACCATTCCAAGTTCTCATTAGATATGCAGTTCATAGAGGCTTACCACTGCTGTAGAAGACATAGACAAGAATGCACCAACGAAAACCCCCTCTGAAGGTTTACCCCCACATAACTGCAAAAAGCATGAAGCTGCATTCATCAAAAACTCATAAATATAATACTCTGAGTAATGGAGAAGGTAAATGTTATAAGACTAGTAAAATAAGGAAAAAAAATAGAAAAACAGCATATCTTCTCCAATTTAAAAAGCAGCACTTTAGTCCACATGCCTAATTGAACAAACAAATGAATGGGTCCTCGCCCAACTGAGGAGAAAGAGTAAATAATATCTAGCCAGAGCCCAAACAACCATTGAATAATGCTCACTTATGCTGTTATGCTAGATGTTTTATAAGTGCAGTACATGAATGATAAAATTTGTAGGAAATGTATCATTCACAGCTTCTGAAGTAAATGTTGGAATCATATGACCAACACCTGCAGTTTTGTGCACATACCACTAATGTGAGTGTAAAACAACTGAGGACAGAAACTAGAGAGACCAATAATTCGAGCTCAAGCCAGTTTACGCATAAGAAATATTCGGTGGCTTCTCTAGAATACAATTAAAATCTCAGTTCTCTATTGGGTACAAAATACAAACCTTATATAATAAAACAAAGAATCTAAGAAATGCAAAGGTTATTATGTGGTAAGGTTTTAGATATCAAACAACAAACATTTACATATGATATGTCTACCAATAACAGACATACCGAGACTGTTATACCACACAAGCACATGAATAGAAAAATTTGGAGAAGACCTCCAAGGACAGCAACTGCTCGAACAACACGAAGCTGTAAAAACGGTTACCAGGTTAGTGTCATTAATCATAGGAATGAATCTAATAGGGAAGTACAAGGCAACAAGCAAAACCTTTGTTGTTGAAAACTCCAAGCCTAGTGCAAAAAGAAGAAATATTACACCAAATTGAGCCACTGTTTCAACCTAAATGCATGTGCCAATAAAAATAAGAACATAGTAAGGGAAATTATTTGAAAAATGAAAAGAGATGTCGGCTTCGATCACTAACACAGTTTCCTTAAACAAAATTCATGAAGAATTAATAAGACATTTTTGTTTTGTTTGCTACAGCAGCACAAGTAATAGCACGTGTACCATTACCATTTTGATGCATATGGCATGGTTCTCTTTCTAGGAACCTATGCATGCAGGCAAATGTCAAACCAGTAGAAACTATGAAAACTATATTCTAACCAAAGCTGAAATTTTAAAAATTTACAGGCATCAATAGAGAACAAGGGTACTGGGTGACAGTAGGCCTCAGTTCTTGCATTAGCAAGTAAATATGGTAGTTGTAGACTATACCACGTCATGCTCATAGGCTTTAGTTGGTTTACATATGTTAGTTTAGATATGCAACTAAACAGCTATCTCTATTTATTATAACACAATAGCATACATTTCATCCTAAATCCTAACTCAGCATCATGATTTTTAAAGTGTCTAAAATGTGTTGGACTCTTATATAACTCACTTACAAAATCTCCCCAAATCCCCCATTTTTCTATTTTCCTATAGGGGCTTAATAGGTCCAATGCTTAAATGCAACCCCTCCCCCCAGGCCAAAAAAAATGATTCATTGTAGGAAGGAGATTAGGATATCCTGCCTTATTCAGGTAACCAACTTCAACCTCACTTCTTATGTCTTGATGTTTAATCCACCAATGAATTAACATAAAGATGTTTAGGACAATGAGTTTCCTAAGCTAAAGATAAGTAAACTGCCAACTAGCATCCAAGCGGAAGCAACATACTTGCACCATTTCACCAACAAAGCTAAAACCACCAGGCCCAATAATAGATCCTGCAAGCAGATATCCAGTAATAACCTGAAATTTCCAAATGCAAAGGTGAGGCTCTCCATTAGAGAAGACCTATCACTGTGAATCAAGAACAAGTTTTACAAAGCTTTTACAAAGAGACAGAGAATGAATCAAACAAGCAGAACAATATTGCAAAGGGTGAAAACCAATGGAATAAAGAACATGAAAGGTACAGCAGTGGTACCGGTTGTCCAGCACAAGCAAAAGCAATGCCACCACATGTAGCAGAGACAATGACAACTACCAGATCTGATATTAATCTGCACAAGGATTTTAGAACAATCAAAAAGTGTTTCCATTACAATTGTAACAGCATCAAAATTAAATACAAAAAATATTTAACAAAAGTATAACCTTAAGTCTAGTTGTAGAACAGGATATTTCGACTTTGGATTGGATATTATAAAGACATTGTCCTGGAAAGAAATATCCCAACATAATCAACATTTAATGTCCTTAAAATATAACAACTCTAAAAGTACAATTGCTTTAAGCAGTATTGTCATAATTCAATATAAACGCCAAGGCAAAGTGTCAACTGGATAGAAGAAGTTTCCTAAGACTTTTGCAGAACATACATTTTGATCTATCAATGTTGGCGCATCTTCTGCTCCATTTTCATTATCCAAATGGAAAACATCATGGAGCTGAAACGACCTGACATAAGGCTCAAAAAAATGTAAGCTGTCCTCTGGGTTAATGAAGCGAAATCCCTAAAATATCAGAAGAGGTAGGGTTTAACTCTTACTTCTCTTCCTTGGTCTCGTTTTTCTTGGTCTTAACTCTAGCAACAGTTTCCAAGACAGCCTAACAAAAATAAACCAATTACATTATCACCACCCAAGAGCAAGAGTTTCTTTAATACTCAATAGAAAATTCATAAACAGAAAAGTATTTTATAATTCAATCAACAAAATATACTTCATTTTCCATTACCAGAAAAATCACTCATTTTTATTGCAAGAGTGGCATGGTTGTGTACTGGTCTCAAAAGTTTTTCTCCCTTGAAAACTAGAATGGATATTATCCAAATTATAACTAATCCTAAAAGTAACAATGATTAATATCTGGTCCAAGATTTCTTTTTCAGGTTTAGGTCCTTTAAACACTAAAATTGAAATTGTAATTTAAACAGCAGCCAACTGCCTTAAAGGCCTATTCGCATTCCTATGTTGAGAGATGGAACGCAACAAAAGAATCCATACTTTTGACTGCTTAAAATGTGCACATAATCACTTTCAAAACTAAAAGGTCATAGAAAATGAATAACAATATTAGAAAATGTCACTAGCCTACCACCAACCTGCTTCCCCGCGACACTATTGTTGAAACTACCAGGATCAGTGGCTGCAAAAGAAAACACTAGTAAGAATTTCAATAATTGAAACTGAATGAATAGAGGAATTCACCTAAGCCGAATAAGCATTATATTTTATAACTTATAATACAAAAAGAAAAAACAAGCAATTTCATCTTTCTACTTCTCATTTTCACTGCAAAATTTAAAGCTCTTTACGCAAATACCTACAATTTTCTAAATAAAATAATGCGAACAAATATACGGAAAATAAAATAAAATAAATAAATTTTAAAATTAAACATTTTAATGAAAAATACAGAACTAAGAGAAATTGAGTGAAACTAAAGCTGATCTACAGACTTCAAAACCCTAGCTCAACCACCATTAATACTGAAACAAATGCAAATGCAAAAAGAGAGAGCTTGCGAGAGTTCAGATCTAGTACAGACCTTCATTTTGGTCAGTGTCATTGAATTCCTTCTCAAGAGCGCGATCGATCATGTCGGCGAAACTATCCTCTCTGGATCTCGGGTCCGAGAAATTGGACTGAGCGGCAGTGACATTGATCTCCGACGCAGACTGGGACTGGGCGTCAATGGCGGCGACCGAAGCAAAGAATACGAAGAGATCGCAAATGAATAAGAGAGCCACGAGTCCCCTCGTCATTGCCGAGGTTTTAGTGAGAGAAAAGAAAAGAAAAACGTAGAGAGTGTAAAGGTGAACGGAAAGGTGCGCAGAAATAGTAGAAGCGTAAGTTAGCAAAACAAGGAGCGAGGGCGTTGGATTTGCGCCTTTCGTCCTTCCTTTTCTTTCTCTTCTCTCTGTGGTTTGGGGAGAACGAGAGGGAAAAAATGGTGGTTAAGTAAAAGTACAAAAAAGTCCTTTAACTTGAGATACTGTAGACTCAAATCAGTACTGATCCTGCTCCTACGCGCTCAACGATATCGCGTGTAAAGAACGCAGTGTTTTGAAGATTGCGCCGCTAAACTGAGTCCCTAAAAAAAAAAAAAATTGGAATTCCAAAACGGGAATTGCACTAGCAAAGTAGTTGGGCTGTGATTTCACTCTCCCCATTGAAAAGCTGGAATTTCTTCCCGACCAGAAAGTATGTTGTTTTTGGGCTCATAGTTTAGAGATGCCCAAAAATCGGATAGCTAGTCCAAATCTATAAGCTCGGAAAATTTCGGGCTGGGCTTAGACATAGCTCTTTAAGCCTAAATTAAGTTTGATGTTTAATATATTAATAAATAAAACTTTTTTATTTAATTTTAGTTTTAAACTATATTTTAAAATATTAAAATATAGGATATTTTAATATTTTAATTATGCCCTTCATATATTTCCAAAGGTAAAAAATGCAATATTGTAATTGCTATAATTAAAATAATCATTTTAAATTACTAAATAATATTTAGAACACTGTGCAATAGATTTAGTTAAATATTAAGTAATGCAATTCAGAGATCCTTTGTTTCCCTTCCAAAATTTGCGAAAAAAAGGGAACAAAAAAGAAGAAGTAACTCATTGATTGGAAGAAATTTCTCATAATCTTCAGCCCGGTAGCTTCTTAAGCTGTATAGAGCTTCCTAGAGTAAACAATGTACATAGGATCTGAGCGTCCAGGATTAGGAGATATATCAACAGCCTGCAGCCAGAAGCGAATTTTTTTAGAAGAAAGCTCAGATTAGAATCTATCATCAGCTTGAGTGCCTTTAAATATAGGATATGCTCATTTGAATGCACATGGATTTACATCAATAGGCTGTGCAGCAGCATATTCCGGTCAATATCAGCGGATATTATATAAAAAACACCCCCACTCTCTCTCTCGACACACAGCAAATATATAGAGCTAAGAGATTGCCAGCTAGTGGTTATCCAAGAACAACTTCATGGGTGAAATATTGAAGTTTATTTACCTGAGGAGGTTCAAATCCACCAGCATAATGGAAATATGACCCGACAATCACAACATGATCGGTGTCACCAGTGGATGTCCATATAGAGATTGCTTTTGTCCAAAAGCAACGATTGGAAAAGCTGTTCAGAAATGAATTACATCAAGTTAAAAAATGTTCAAAGTTTTTGGATACATAAAAATGGTTGAACAAAGAAAATGGAAGATGCAATAGAAATAAGAAACATTGAAGGTATCTAGCAGACAGAAGTTCTATTGCAATACTAAATCATAAAAAAAAAAATGTGGTGCAATTATAGCCAAGGCTATAAATCACACAGGTTGTAGAAACAACAAGAAATACTGCCAGAAAATCAACATGACATGAGCTTAGTGATGATGGAAAATCAAATTCTTATTGAGTTGGAACTTACTAAATCTTTTTGTTAGTTGTCAAGAATCACTTCATGGAAACAGACAATTCTTATAACAGATTGTAAAAAGCAAAAAAAATTAATAAAATTTGATCTCAAACTTGAATGCAATCATTAGTAATAAGTAGATGAAAACTTCACCTCATTATAGCTAATCCACCAGGCTTAAGAATCCGGCGCATCTCTTTGAAAACATCAAGAGGCTTTGTTAGATAATCAACACTGACCTACACATTTCGAAGTTGATCATGTAAGCATCCTTAAAATGTCATGTTTAAAAGCATACTTGGAGTTGGTTGTAGGCATCCAAAACTTAGAAAGTATGATTCTGCTCGGAGATAAGCATATAAGCCAAGCTTTCACAGAAGAAGTTCAAAAAATCCTGAAGCATCCTTCAGTTCATCCAAAGTAGGACAAGAAGAAGAGAGAAAGGAATAACTGATGTGCAAAAGGCAATTTTAAAAGTGAAACTTCAAAAGACAAGGAGATATTGAAGAGATGAGAAAAAGCACCTACCACATTAGTAATGACATCAAAGGAATTATCTTCAAATGGAAGCTTAGGATTCAAATTTAAGTCTTGCACAACATACTCTGTTAGAACCTACAAAGACAAATAATTTAAAGTAATACTAATCTCCTCATCACATCAGTATATACGTTATTAATTGAAAAAGTCAGGCAAGGCTATAACTCCCTTGCTCAGAAACACAACAATGTCTTGAACTAGACATGTTTCAAAGTGATTCCATTAACTGCAGTATCACATTTCAGTTGTACCAATGAACTCAGTCAGATGAGAGTCAGATGACAATCATCTAGAAAGAATATCAAGACAAAAATAATAGCTGCAGTAGTGGAGACCTCTTGTACAGAGTAACTTAATGCTATGATTTGAATAGAACTTGTTAATCTGTTACAATTTTGATGGAGTCTACGTATTAAATTAACTAAATCATTAAAGTTGTCGTTGCTAAAGTCAGCCTCATATAGCAGCAGTTTGATGACCAGCTTCAAGATTTTTGAAAATGTACTTATAAGCCGAATGTTACAAAAGCGACAAGAAAAATTTTAATCTCACAGGATTTTGCTTGAGCTCTTCTTCGTTCATGCCCGTTCCAACTACCCGTTCTTGCTTGTATCCTTTTGGAAAATGACTGACCTAAACATAACGACAAGAACTGGGTCATGAGAATGCAATAGAGAAAGAAGCTGATCTCAACATCAAGAATGTCTTACCCAACTGCTGCACATATCCAAGATGCTCACTCCGGGAGTATTGCTGGGAGGGAAAACCTCTGAATAGTACTTAGTAAGTGCAGCAATGGCTGGATCATCAATGTGTGTAACAAAGCGAGGAGCTTCATAGAACAGTGAATCTGGTGATCTGAAACATATCAAAAGGTGCATTACAGCCATGAAAATCTGGAAACCTGGTCAATATACTTAACATTGAGGATGAAACTTTGAAATCATTTAAGCAAAGCATAACTTTCAGCTAAATTATATCTTCTTGATTGAACAACTCATTAAAGCATTAAATCTTGTAATCAATATAGTATAGGATGATAAATGCAAGGATGAATTGTGGAGTGCTGTAAGATTTCCTGTTTGTTTGACAGTACAACGAACTTCATTTTCTATTTTATTCTAGCAAAGTTTAGAGGATATTACGAGAGATATAGGCAGAAAGTACAGCCTGCTTGATTGAAACCTAAAGCCCTTATTCTAGGAGAAATTAGAGGTTCAACAGAGTCATGTTCTTTGAAGTTTGAACAAAGGGTTTGCCAAACATGTCTCACATCAACACCCTCATTCATCTAAAATTGGTAATAGATGCTTCAAAATTTACTTCTCTAATCTCCAACCAGCAATCACAAATATGTATAATCATCATGAAGATGGTGAGTAACAGCAGATAGGAAATTAACGTATGGAAGAAGCAAAGCATGAACAAAATTAGATGAATAATCTCAAGGAAAGCAGAAATTTAACATAGATTTCAATTTAAACAGAAAATTTTAGTTTGTATTATTTACTCATCAAAACGTTGGAAATCCTCATCATTGAAGGGGAACTGTTCTGGCCATTCCACATTCTGTAATACCTGTGCAGTAAAGTGAGGGAATTTGGCATCTCAATCTGAGAGAATAACAATTTCCATTTGAATTTTAGTGATGAAATATAGCATTAGAACAATGGTGGGCTCATAGGTTCATTAATGTTTCAAATTTCAACTCCTCCATAACCCACGGATATAATTCAAAGTGCATGAAAATGAAACCCAGAAAACAAATCAACAAAAGAATTAGTAAACATTGAAAATGCACCTGTTCAACAGCCCCGTTGTGCCTTGCAGAAGCAATGAAATATTTGCAATTGCCAGCCATGTTCATATACTGAGCCCAAAAAGAAGTCCCTAAGCCTAGCACCAGCCTACGGGGCAGTCTACCACCATTGTTCCATTTTTTCAGCTTACTCGAAGGACTAGAAACAGAATTAACAGCGCGAGCACGAACCGTAGCAGAAGTCAAACAAGAATAGCCAACACGGCCCCAGACAGGGAACCTTTGTTGCAGTTGAAGTCCGAGGATTACCATCTTTGATAACATCTCATCATATATATATAGATTAGTGCTTTTATATGCTGCTACTTGGGATACGGTAGCATGCACGTGGGGCCTTTATAGCCGTAGGATTGAAGAAGATAGATGTTCTGTTGACGATGATAGTCAAGGTTGTCAATGAAGAAAGTGCCCAGACAAGGGTGTGGTTTATATTATTTGGTGTCTGATCTTATACAAGTGATTCTCGTTTGGTTAACGTGGATATCCTTCTCGTCATCATTTGTTTCCAAAGTCTACGATTTGACAAATTGATTCCAAACAGATTTAGCCTCCAAATTCTGAACATCAGCACAAAATGATCCTTAAACAGGAAATCACTTGAGAAAACTAAACGGGAGTTTCATTTCATCTAACAGAAAAAAAAAAAAGATGGCATTCTTTGTTGTTCCCGGATGAATGACACAGGGTGAATCCACATTGGCAAAATGAATATGGGATTCATAGCATCAAACTTCCAAAGTTCAAAAGCCCTTAACGTTTGAGAAAATTAATCGAAGATCGTTACTGAATCGACAAATGAACCCATATTTGTGAACGCTACTACCAAGCTTGATAGGCCCAAATCAGTCCATGGATCAAAATGATGGACCAAACCAGGGCAATATCATCATCCTGAATCGTTACGTGAAGATCGGGGGCACCGGGAAACCGCAAGGTAACCACGCCAAGGTACAATTTTCGTGTCAAAAGAAAGCCTATCATCTTTAAATAATCTAATAGCCATCTAGTGTAGAATAATCAAATGCCTGTAAGCTTGCAGCAACTAAGATAAAGAATTCCAAGGAAAGTGTGAATCAAATGTCAGCACCATTTGGCAATAAGCATATGGCTCTTTAGTATGGTTGCGTTGCATCTGCAAGGGTCTAAAAGCCAAGACTAATGACACAGGTTTAATTACCATGAAAAAGAGAAACAATAATCATGCAAAATGAAGTGATTGTCAAGGTGGAAACTATAACAAATAAAAATAATAATAATAAAATTCATGGCTGTACAGTGGCTCCCATGAACAGGGGAAGGAAAATCATGCAATTGTGCTAATCTTGCCTTTATCCAGCTGATGAATTATTAAAACTTGCTCAATGACAAAATTTGATAACATATTAGATAAATTATTAGTATGGATAATGATTCTTTTGTTTGGTTGCATCATCATGTTGGAAGTTGACTTGACAATTGGATCTTATCAAATATCAATAATGTCGATGTAAAGGCAAAAAGGAGCAGAAAGCAATGGATCCTTTTCCAGTGTTTTATCATCAGCCTATAGGATTTATTTCATTGACCAAAGGTTGATTTTGATAGATAATGAGATTAATTTTGATAAAATTAAAATTAATAATAATTATTATTATAATTATGATTGAAAAAAATTATTATAATTATGATTAAAAAATTTTATAAAAATTTTAAACTGAGTAAACTTTATTAAAATTAACATTTAAATTTAATTCATAATAATTGAAGTTTAATTACACCTTATTAAAAAGTACAGTTGCATCCTAGTGTAGGCTGAGTTTCTTGCTTTCACTCGATAAATCTTATTTTACCAGTGTTCTGACCATAATATCAAGCACCTTTAAAATGACTATCCCTCCTCCATCTTTAAGCATTAACAAAAGAAAACATTGTGTTCAAAATATCGTGGCTATGGACAAGCTTATCTAATGGTGGAATCAATCAATCAATCAATTATTTTAGACAAATCTTTATATTTTCTTTTCCTTACCTTTTTCTTCAGTGCCAATAAATATGGCACATTGTCATTTGGCACATGTACAATATGTTAAAAAACTTAATCAACCATCATCCAATTTTAAAAATAAAGGTTAAAAACAAAAAAAAAACATATGTATTAAAGTAAATATAATAAACATATTAAAATAAATTAAAACAATAACAATTAAAAATAATTGAAAACTATCTTTGACTTCAAGTTCAATAAATAAAAAATCTTAAAAAAAATATTAAAGTTGGAGTACGATTCCAACCCCCTCTCTTATTATAAATTCTATCATTTTTAAAAAATAAAAATAAATAAAAATTTATCAATAATATACACATTAAATATTTTAATTATGTACATATATATATTAAATATAAATATGGGACAAGTGTTATAATGTTTAATTATCTATTCATGTACTTATTAAATATGTAAAAGTCATATTTTTCACGATTTCATTTTTTAATATTCATATTTTGCTTTTTTTGGATAAAAATCCGAATACGCATAAAATATGAGCAAAATAGATATCTTAATTCTAGTAGTAATAATAATTAACACTCCTTAACATTCAAGAAATTAGTAAAAAAAAAAGCCCGAACTTATATCTTTTTGCCCCCCTAATATCATGGATCTAGCAAAATTTACCACCCTTAAACAGTAAAAAACTAACAGTTACATAGCAAAAGTTAGTAATACTTGTACTTAATCGGTGTTCTGGACAGCCATAAACCAATTCTCACTATAAATAATCCCCACTTACTTCTCTCCTTTACTCCCACCTCCCGTCCTTTTTATTTCCAGGAATGTTTGTCCTCCGCGGCCCACCGTCTCCGACCGAGTCAAACATAAGCCTATCTTCCAAAATGGATCGACCCAGATTCGTAATCGACTCTGTCGAAGCCGAACAAATGGCCAAACAATCAGGCCAAACGGTGCTCCAACTCCTTCCGTCCTTGGTCAAATCTGCCCAGGGCTTAGCCCGCCCGCCAATCTCGAACTACCAAGTTGGGGCTGTCGGACTTGGGTCATCTGGTCGGATCTTCTTCGGAGCCAATCTGGAATTTCCCGGTCTCCCCCTCAACCATTCCGTCCACGCCGAGCAGTTCCTCATCACCAACCTTTCCCTCAATGCGGAGCCACGTCTTAAATACGTCGCCGTCTCCGCCGCCCCTTGCGGCCATTGCCGCCAATTCCTCCAAGAGCTACGTGGAGCCCCCGATGTTAAGATCCTCATAACCTCCTCCGAAAAGGAAAAAGAAAACAAAATGAACAATAATTGTAATGATAAAGACCACGAATTTACTCCATTATCTCATCTTTTACCTCACAGGTTCGGCCCAGATGATTTGCTAGAAAAAGACGTCCCTCTTCTCCTCGAGCCTCACCGAAACGGTTTGTCGATTTGCTCCGATTTATGCAACGGCAAAATCAACGGTGAGGATGATTTAAAATACGCGGCTCTTGATGCGGCGAATATGTCACACGCGCCATACAGCGGGTGTCCATCTGGAGTGGCGTTGGTGGATGTTGAAGGGAAGATATATACAGGGTCTTACATGGAATCGGCGGCTTATAATCCGAGTTTGCCGCCGATTCAGGCGGCGCTCGTGGCTTACCTGGCGAATGGTGGCGGAGGAGGGTATGAGAGGATTGTTGGGGCAGTTTTGGTGGAGAAAGCGGATGCTGTTATCAAACAAGAACATACGGCTAGGCTGCTTTTGCAGTGTATTTCGCCAAAGTCTGAGTTTAAGGTGTTCCATTGTAAAAAAACAAGTTAAAAATGCGAGTACCATGTACAATTTATGCTCATATAACCATTTGTAATGGTTTAATAATGGCAAATATAGGGAATTTGTCGATCAATTGATGAAAAGTTAATAAAATGTTTAATCTTTATGATGCTTTGTAATATCTTCTGCAACTTGAATTATTGTCTCCTGTTCTGTTTTCTCTCTGTTCTGTTGGGGGGTGTTAAATGGACTTGGATGAGATGCTGGAACTGTTGGGTAAATGAAACATGAAAAGCGGGTGGGTGTGGCTGCTAAGCTGAGGAATGACAATTCTTTCAAAGTTTTTGGTTGGTAAAAGGCATCCAAAAAAATACAAACATAGAGATTTCACTTTTGGACTGGACTGGTATGGAAACTGGTCCATTTTCCAGCTGAAGTTTTTATTGGTGGGTGGTGGATCCTCGCTGCAAAGGAGTTCCAACATTGCAACTTTTGAGACACAGTTTACTGATCTATATCTATGTAGTTTTCAAGATCTACCATCATCATCATCATCATCATCATCGAAATGGGTTGTCAAAAGGGTCCTTTAGTTATTAACCTCAAATACTTGCAACTCTTCTTAATGGCCTCTCAAAGTGCCAGGACTTGTTCTGCTGCTGCAAAATTTTCTTTATTTTCATATTTTCAGTTTGGTAGGATCATTTCTATTTATCTTGGTGATTAGGTTATAAACTTATGATCTATACAATTTATTATCAGAAAGTGGGATAATACTCTAGGGGCATTTTCACTTTCATGCAGGCTACTGCAGAGTAGTGACTTAACTTGATAAGAGATGGCAATAGTGAAATTGGTGATGATGAATCAAGTGCTGTAGGCTCAAACAAGGTGGAAATTGATAGTTCTTAACCACCAAAACTGTAGATTCTATTGTTTGACTTTGTCCGAATATTGTGGCTTTCAATGAAGGGAAAAAGAATAAAAAAGTACAGAAAGTACAAATTGTAGACCCAACTCATGGAACAACAGATTGAGGATCCACTCCAGAAAGGCAGAGCCAACAAGTAGGAAACAAAAAGAACATTGATGTTTGCCTTCAAAGTTAGCTACATCTCTGCACAGCATTTCTATATTGCTGCCAGGGAAATGCCAGCCAACCTACAGTAAATTTTAATTAACATTTCAGGGGAAATTAATAGATATTGACCATGTTAGATACCAAACCAAACTGGTAAATTTATGGTCATTTAGAACAGATTATGGCAACTAAGACTCGTCATAATCTCCAAATTTATAATAGATCAGATCCATTTGCAAGGAAATCAGATTGCAAACTTCCAGGCTCCTACAAACACCGTTGTGCCAGATAAAGAAAATCCTAATCATCCCAACCTTGTTCATCTCTTGTATTAAAGATCCGATATGCCAATGTCATTGCTCCAGCCAAATATGGCATAAAGTTGCTTGCAGCTTGCAACTAGCAATTTCCTTCTAAATTTAGGAATCAAAGATTTCATCTAAGTGCAATGGATGTCGAAAGATGGTCAAAATAGCTGAACAAAGCAGCACCTATATTGCCAGCAAATTAATTTCTGTTTAACTAGTGCAATTCCATCCATAAATGATATATATATATTTTTTTTGTGATAAAGTCCTATGGTGTCCCTATAAACTGATTTATTATCCCAGAAAAAGTTAAACCGTCTGTCATTATCGACATCAATCTTGAACTTATGACGGCATAGATGACTGTAACCTTGTCCATGCTTATCCTTCTTAATCTCCATGCTTATCCTTCTTAATCGAATGATTAGAAGCTGAAAGCGAGATTATCTTTATATGAATCACACTCTTGGCACTTTTTTAGCAAAGTTACAAACTTGAATGGCTACTTTTTAAGGATTTATCCGACATGAAAGTAATTGATTTTGATTATCAACAAACTTGGTTCATCCGTTTCCATTCGGCCTCTAAAGCTTCAAAAGTCATAGCACTTCTAATGCCAACTTATAGAAAACATTGAATTTCATGCAACAAAAATTTTTCTTGGTGGAAGATGTTATATGATATACACATGAATCTTAAACCGCAAAGAATCTCTTGCTTTTCCCTGGGTCATGTATAATTCTAAATTGAACAACAGCTTTGGAAGCATTCAAGAGAACACTAGGACACAGAATAAGAAGAGGAGGCAGCATTCTTCAATGGCAGAGGCGCAGCTTCCTTGGCATGGCGCATCAACACTGGCAATCTGTTCGCTTCTTCCTCATCCCCGAAGAACAAATCATCAGTACTTCTGAATACTCCATGGACCAAAACAATAGCTAATCCAAGAGAAAGACCAATTATGATATTATCTGTCACATCTGTTAGGAAAAGCATGGCAAAGGTAACCAACAACAGACCCGTCGTCATAACGAAATCATCAATCACAAAGCCCTCAATTGATACAGGGTTGTCACGTAAAAGATATAGGAACAACCATGCAACTATCAGGATAATTAAGACAATCAGTGAGACAGGGTGCCAGAGCAAGTTGAGGAAGAGAAGAAACATTATGACGATGACATAGTTCATCCTAAAAAATGCAGCGTTGGTTCGGATTCTTTGTATGGAGTTATTTAAATTGGAGGGGAGGCTTATAGCTTGAATCTTGATCATCTCTTTCCATTGTCTTCGTGAGCCAAGGGCTGATAGGATCTCTTCTCTTGCAGGGAAAATGAAGGTCGTTGATGGAGGCAACTCTGTTGGAATAGTTCCATATGTTGTCATTTTTGTAATTAGTTCTGCAGAGAGCTACGGGCCAAAGCTAAGGAAGAGGAAAGAGGGAAGACAAGAGACAACGCTACAGGAGGGGAGAGAAGAACATGCTCTTCATAATGTGCTAAATTTGAGGTAAGTTGAATGTAACTAAATATAACATCTAGGTGGATTTCATTCTTCATTTTGTGGCTTAAGTTAACCCATGCCAGCTAGTTATTTCGATTGAGCGTAGATCAAATTGCTATATAATCAATGCGAGATCTTTATTAATTCGTTCAGGAGGATTGACACTGCATCACTAGTGGTTTCCCTTCCCTGCCTAAAGAATATCCTCAAGGAACAACCGCTATGCATATTCCACGCCAATATGCTATATTGAAAAAAAAAAACAAAAAAAAAGCAAGGGACACCTTGGGGAGCAAGATCAAATGACAAATAAAGGTAAGGATATTAGATTGATGAAATGCTAATGGTATGATTTTTGTTTTTACGAAGTGGTCTCTCCTCTTCACATGGAAATAATAAAGCTCCTCCCATGCAAATCTGATACTAGAAATAATTAAAGACTAAATAATCTTCTATCTCAACTAATCATAGACAAACATCATCTATACTGTAATTATTTTCCAGATGCATCCTAAAGACTACCAAATCTGTAACTTGTATACAGAAATTGAGTAAAATAGAAAGAATGGCACAATAGTTCTTTGACTGCATCTTCTTGCTTTCACTGATTAGGTGGTAGGACATCACCTTTGAGCACCTTCCAGGGATCACCATAAAATTTCGGCTTCATGAGTGGCACTGCTTCCCCAGGGTGATCTTCCCAGTACTTTTCCGGATCAATAACACAAATTGCAACTCATCCTTGAAGATTGCAATTCCTAAGTGACCAATGATGACAACATGGGTTTCCATGAGCTTTTACAAAATCCTTGGCAACTTAAGTTTGAAAATAAATGAAATGAAAGAAAATATAGAGAAAAAAGTGACAGAAAAACAAATTTAATTCCTTTTAGTAGTTAGAGGACTCTAGATAAATGATAAGAAAAATGAGATGAAATTCAATTATGGGACATTTGCTCCGCTCTTCGTTAATGAATTGGATGAATATATTCATTATGTTCGCAAAGTTGAAATCAAAACTTAAAGATTTATATGCACTTGATTCGTTAAGATACAATCTCTTGAAAGAAAACTTCATGACCATCTTCAATCACCTGATATAAGCCACATGATAGCTCAAAACTAAAATCTAATGTAATTCTGATTCAATATAAAAGAAAGCTTGAGAAAAAAGTGTTATACCAAAGCTTTATATATATAAGAATTGATAACTGACGGTAACCATTTCCACGTAATTCATTCCAAGTGATATGGACTTTCACCAAGCTTTATGGTAAATTGTTAAAATACAATTACCAAATATCTAAAAGAAGCTTAAAGCGTAGAATTGAGCTATAGATAATTCAGGAAAACATATTTTCCGAGTTTCAACAATTCTTAGTATTTTATAATTTCCTATTGTAATTTCCAGTTTACATATATGAACTCCAAATTTAATATTTTTTCATCCAAGTTTTCACAAAAAAAATATATATATACTTTTAGTTTAACTAAACAAGTGGTTACAATATTAATACAGGAAATCCAAGAAAATGGTGAAAAGAAAATACTTGTAAAGTTGGTCAGTGATGCGTCGTCGATGAAATCAGTGTAAAAAGCTGTAATATAAATAGTGAGGGGAGCGAAAAAAAAAAAAATATATATATATATATAACTTTTTAATAGAAAAAAAAAAAAGCAAACCTTTTTAGTTTAACTAAATAAGTTATTATAATATTTGTAAACACCATTTTATTATTATTTATTTTTATTTTTTTTCTTTCTCTTTCCTTTTTTTTTTGTCTCTTTCTTTTTTTTTTTTTTCTTCTTCTCTTCTCCGATGCATTAAATGCACTATCACCAAAGTCCAAAATACCAATGGCCGTTACCACCGGCAGTTGCCTAACACACTGCCTAACCGACAAGCGTGAATTTTAAGTTAAAAATGTGGGATTCAAATATAGAAGATTTGAGATTTGAATTTTAAAAAGCTCTATAAATAGAGTTTCTAACCTGCAAGAAAAACAGATGAGGGGAATCGAAAAAAACTGCAAAAAATTTTTATAAAAAAAGAGAGCTTCTTGTCGAAAAAAAATCATTTTAGCTTTTTGTAAAAAAAAAAACAAAAAAACCATAGTCCCCAAGCAGGGGAACTTAGCGCCAAAAAAAAAAAAAAAACTCACCTGCAAAAAGAAATCAAGGTCAGCTGCAAAAAACAAAAAAAAAAAAAAGTTTTTAACCGAACCTTCAAAGATAGATCTAGGTCGTTTGAGTCTCCTTTTGGTAAAACAGAGGCTGAATCTGGATTCGGTGAGTCGAGAGGAGTTTGTGAAAATATTTTGAAATTTTTTGACCACCGGAGACAACGCCAACGGTGGGGCTCAGACGACATCTCTGTTTTGATTGAGTAAAAAAAAAGAGGTATTTTTTTTTTAGAAGGAAGAAATGATCGAAATTTTTTTTTTTGACTTTTATATAAGCTACCAAAACCCAAAACGACGTCGTTTCAATAATGCTTAAACAACGTCGTTTTGAGACCTAAGGATCCGTACGTCAACCCGTAACCCGATCAGGGATCTGCGCAACAGACCTGACGATCCGTTCCCCTTTTGATCTTCGATCGGTCCAGGTGAACCGGACCAGACCGTCGCTGAGCCGCCGAATCGCCCAAACCAGCGTTGAACTGACGGAACTGGTCCAGACCCGCGTTGATCGGACCGTTGACCTGTTCGGTTCAGAAAAAATTTTTTTTTTGAATTTTTTAAAGATTTTTTTATATATTATTTTTGTTATTTTAATTATTATTAATAATATTTATGCATGTAAAAATGTTTAAATTTATCAAAATAAATTTTTATTGTTTTATAATATTAATTAATAAATAAAAATAATAATAAAAAAATTTTATCCGACGATGAGATTCAGAATACTATCTGAGTAGCTGAATACCTATGAAATTTCTAGGTGAAAAAATTTTTATTTTTAATACTGTCAGTGCATTGGGATATTTATAAAAAAATTTTAATCAGAATTAAATTTTCTTTTTTTATAGAATAATAATAAAAATTAATTATTTTATAAAATAATAGTAAATAAGGAAAAAATTTATCAAATGATGAGAGTCTAAGATTTCGCAGTAGTGCATGCGTTACGAAATCCTAGGGAGAAGAATTTTTTTTTTAAAATATTACCAGCGTATTGAAATATTTATAGAAAAACTTAAATACAATAAAAATTCCTTTTTTTCTTCAAAATAAAAAAATTAATAAAACAATTAATAAAAAATTTTAAAAAAATAAAATATGTGCATCAATATGTTATTATTTGCATTGCATACATGACATAATTTTTTACGAAAAGTAAATTCGGACCTCCTAGGATGAGATTCTAAAGTATTTCGAGAAGCGATGCTTAAGAAATCTTTAGGTGAGAAGGAGTTCTTTTAATGTTACCAACGTAATGAAATATTTTGAGAATTATTTCAATAAAAAGGTTTTAATTTATTTTTCTAGAATAAAATTTTCATAATAAATTTCTAAAAAATCAATTTCCAATAAACAAAAGAAATCAAAGAAAATTATTTTTCAAACACCGAAAATAAGACTATTTTATTAAAATCGAAAGATAACATGTAGTTAATTGGTACCGTCTTAAACGGACGCTGTGGGGGTGCTAATCCTTTCACACGTGTAACTGACTCTCAAACTCAGACTGTTACGCAGACCTTAAAATTATCCTTATAATAAATTTTAATTGATTTTAAGATTTTATTAAAAGAATATATTTTAATAGATATCAATTATACTTAACCAAAAAAAATTGATAACGATTTCGTTATTTTTTTATTTTCGTTTCTAAATTTATCGAACGGATACAAAATTATTACGATAATATTAATACAAAAATCCAAGAAAATGCTGGAAAGAAAATACTTGTAAAGATGAAATCAGTGTAAAAAGCTGCAATATAAATAGTAAGGGGAGCGTAAAAGATTTGGGTCTTGATAGGGCTCTAACATGTCCAAAGAAACTTTCTTTCCTATTTGCTGTAAACATAGTCTGCATACTTTCTCCACAGATAGTTCGCCATTTTTTTTACACCTCTTGTTTGCTACTTTTCTTTATGGTTTATTTCTTTAATGTTAACCACTTGCTTATGACGGCGCTGAGATATAGTTTAGCAAATATAAAATATTTTAAAAATAATTTAATAAAAATTTTAATAAAAAAATTAAAAGCAATAAATTGTATAATTTAATGTAAAAATTAATAATATATAAAAAATATTATTTATAATTCAAATTAATTAATATTTAATAATAAAAATTCTATCAATATTTAATAAAAAAATGTTTGTCTAAATCCACAATGTACTTAAAGTTTGTGTTATGTACTCAATTAATTTTCTGAAAGTTTGAAAATAAGGTAAGAAGAAGAGAATTTAAAGCAAAAGTAAATTATTTACTTAAACATACAATTGTTGTTCTAATTTTTTTGTTAACTTTCAATGTCCCTTTATGTATTCAATCTATGTTTCTATCTCTCTATCTTTTTATATACAAACGTGGAAGGACACCTTTATTTATATTTGAACCTTCGTAACATATGTGGTCATGGTCATTAAAAATTCAAATGTGTGTCTATTAAAATCCTTTTATATTGTTTTAGAACTTTTAAACTCATGCTAATTCCGTTAAACTATTTCCAGAAACTTATCTAGGCCTTCTATTAAACACCAGATTTGGAAGAATCTAGGTATTTTGGCAAAATGCCTATGCCTAGAGTCTTCTAGAACCTTTTTTGTTTGCCGAGTCCTACTTTCGAAAATGACAGTTAAAGAGCATATCATGCATTCTGGTCCGCTAAAAGATACTTTCCTTAACTAATGAGTACTAAGGTGTATGCTACAGTAACCGTTAAAAAGTATAATAGATCGAATCGATATAATATTAAATTTAAGTTTGAATTTAAATTTAATTTTAAATTTAAAGTTTAAAATTTAGTTCGAATTTGATTGAATTTTATTTTTTGATTTGAGTTTAATTCAAGATAAAAATTAAATTGTTCGAACTCGTTCGATTAGATTTAATTAACATATAAAAAAATTTAATTTTTATATTTGATAAAAATTTAATTATTTATATTCGAATTTGAGATATTTGATTAATTAAAATATAAAAATTCAATTAAACTCACGAGCTACTCAATTTGAATATAAAATATTCAAATTCAATTCGATTGATAAATCGAATAATTTGAGCTCAAATTCGACTCGATAATAATCGAATCAAATTTTAATTTTATTCGAATTGAATCTAAATAATTTATAAGTACTAATATATTATTTATACTTATCAGGCCTATATCTTTGGTCTATCTCCTGGTTGTTCTAAAGCTTTCTCAGCTTGAGTGCTTGCATCATGCTTCTAGGCCATTCCAGAACCTTTCAATGAACGACTTTTATACTCAACATCAGGTTGTTTACCCTATGGAGTATTCCCGCAATCTGATTATAACCCATACATTTGGGTCTCTTATGTGCCTTTAGAGACTCAATCTCGATACCACCTGATTCTCTGCCTGCACCAACTTGAACAAACACCATCATAGGCCCACTTGAGCTTAGACTTGCGCATAGGTCGTGACAAATAAAACTAGCTTCTAAGCCTTTTTTTTTTTTTTTGATCTTTTATTTTTATGATAATTGTTACCGATATCATTCAATTCGTTTTTTTCATCTAAATCAAAATTTTACTATAGATTTTCAAAATCCAGATGAAAATCCAGGACTCCCTTTGTCATTTGTAATTTATCAACTTACAATGCATAAATAACAATAGTAATAAGAATGAAATAAAATCAATTTTCATGAGCTTATATTTGTTACTTGTTTAGTTGTTTTAATTTACATAACCTCGTTTGAGACATTAAATTTCTTATATGGTACGGATGGAGTTCAGAAAAAAAAAAAAAACACTCACAGAGACGTAGGAAGTGTTAGGTAAAAAAACCTCAATCCAATCCCTTTTCATATCTTCGTACTCTTAAAATTTTTCTTTTAAAAGTTAAATTTTTCTATTAAATTTTTTTTTTTTTCACAAATCTTTTTATCCATCAAATAATATCTATTAATCCCAAACAAATCTCATTATTCCTAACAGGAAGGTTCAGACTTCAGAAACATGGGAATTTGGTTATACTTGAATTTCTAGGTTACAAATATCACAGGCAGAGTAAGAATAAAAAAGAATGCAGCAACTTCAACCGAGAAAATGCCAGTAAACAGACATATTATTAGATAATCTCAAAATGACTCGCCCACTGTGGAATGCAATATGAATGGAAATGCACACATGCTATATAACGAATCCAGTTTTTAGGTTGACACAGCTGGCATTTCAATCGGAGCAGATACAGATTCAAGATTCAGGTCTCCATCTACCTTAGATGGACCAATGTTGCAATGCGGTTGGCTGTGCATTTCGATAGCATCGTTTATTTTTTGAAACTGCAGATGATATGGCAAGGAACCAGATTTAGCTAAGGCATCGAAGATTAAGCTACTAATAATTTTGTGTGATATAGTTGCATAAGAAAGTCGATCATCTATAAATGCGGTTTTGAAGCCTATATATGCATGAAGAAGAGTCTTTCAGTCTAACCTATAATCATTTCGAGATCTTTATTAATTCTTCCAGGTGGATTGACACTGCATCAAAAGCGGCGGTTTCCCTTCCCTACCATAAGAAAATCCTCAAGGGAACAACCACTTTGCATATTCCACGCCAATATGCTATATTGCGAGAAAAAAAGGGGCGGTTGGAGAGCAAGATCAAATGACAAATAGGGATAAGGATATTAGATTGATGAAACACTAATGGTATGATTTTTGTTTTTAAAAAGTGGTCTCTCCTTTTCACATGGAAACAGTAAGGCTCCTCCCATGTATCTGATGCTAGAAACAATTAAAGTCTAAACAATCTTTTACCTCAACTAGTCATTGGCAAACATCGTCTCCACTGTAATTATTTTCCAGATGCATCCTAAAGACTACCAAATCTGTAACCTGTATACAGAAATTGAGTAAAACAGAAGGAATGGCAAAATAGTTCTTTGACTGGATCTTCTTGCTTTCACCGATTAGGTGGTAGTACATCACCTTTGCGCACCTTCCAAGGACTACCATAAAATTTCGGCTTCATGAGCGGCACTGCTTTCCCAGGGTGATCTTCCCAGTACTTTCCTGATCAATAACACAAATTGCAACTCTTAATAGATCCCCGAAGACTGCAATTCCTAAATGACCAATGATGACAACATGGGTTTCATGAGCTTTTACAATATGCTTGGCAACTTAAATTTGAAAATAAATGAAATGAAAGAAAATATTGAGAAAAAAAGCGACAGAAAAACCGATTTAATTCTTTAAGTAGTTTGAGGATTTGAGATAAATGATGACAAGAAAAATGAGATGAAATTCAATTATAAGACATTTGCTCCGCTCTTCATTATGAATATATTAATTATGTTCGCAAAGTTGAAAACAAAACTTAAAGGTTTATATGCACTTGATTTGTTAATGATTCAATATCTTGAAAAAAAAAACTTCATCACTATCCTCAATCTGCTATCAGCCACATGATAACTCAAAACTAAAACCTAATGAATCCTGAGTCAATATAAAAGAAAGCTTGAGATAAAATGTTATGACCAGGCTTTATATAGACAAGGATTAATCATTGACGGATATCATTTTCATGTAATTCACTTCCAATTGTTATGGATTTTGTATCACTTCCCTAAACCTGAAAATTGAGCTACCGATAATTCAGTAATACACTTCTTTCAAGTTTCAACAATTCTTAGTATTTTAAAATTTCTTATTATAATTTTCAGTTTACGTTTATGAACTCCAAACCCAATCTTTTCTCGTCCAAGTTTTCATAAAAAAGAATATAACTTCCTAACAGCAAAAAAAATAGAAAAGCAGCATTTTGGTTTTACTAAAAAAGTGATTACAATATTAATACAAGAAACCCAGGTAAATGGTGGAAAGAGAATACATTATAGAGTTGCTCAGTAATGGCGGCACCGATGACGCCAGTGTAAAAGGCTGCAATATAAATAGCAACGAGAGGCGTAAAAGATTTGGGTCTTCGATAGGGATCTAACATGTCCCAAAAAAGCATTTTTTCCCATTTGGTGTAAAGATAGTCTGCATAATTTCTCCACAGATAGCTAGCCATTTTTTTTTCCACCTCTTCTTTGCTACTCTTTTTTATGGTTCATGAAATGTTGAAACCCGCTTGCAGCGCTTGAGATAGAGTTTAGAGGGTTGGTAAATATATCCAAACCCGGTCCATTCCAATCCGATATTTTATGAGATCGATTTTTTTAAAATATAGCGTGTGAGTTTGAAATTTGAAAAAAAAAAAAACATTGAAATTGATTCGGAATTAGGTTTTAAGTAAATCCATTTCGATTTCATTTAATATATATAATATATTTTTTAATTATTTATATATTTATATAAATATATTATATTAAAAAAATATTATGTAATATTTTGATTTAAAATATTAATTTAATAAAATTTATATTTATATTATAATTAAAATATAATTTACATTTAAAAATAATATTTTATAATATTATATTAAATTAATTTTAAATTAAATCAATTACGATTATATATATATATTTATATTTATATATACACACAAAGAGATTAAAAATTTATTTTAAAAAATTGGGATGGGATCAGGGTAAGACTTGCCATCTCTAATAGTTTACCTTGGTGGTGAGAGAACTAAATGGTGAAAATATCCAAAACCTCCCTGAATGAATCTAGCTTCTAAGCATTTTTTTTTTTTTACCTTTTATTTTGGGTGATTGTAAATTATACCCATACCATTCAATTTGTTTTTTTTTTTCTTTTAAATCAAAATTTTACTATAAATTCCAAAAATTTAGATGAAAATCTAGAACCTCCTTTGTCATTTGTAATTTATCTACTTACAATGTTGCAATAACACAAGCAATCTGGATGAAATAAAATCAATTTTCATGAGCTTATGACGGCGTTGAGATATAGTTTAGCCAATATAAAATATTTTTAAAATAATTTAATAAAAATTTTAATAAAAATTTAAAATCAATAAATTATATAATTTAATGTAAAAATTAATAATATATAAAAAATTATAAAAAATATTGTTTATAATTTAAATTGATTAATATTTAATGATAAAAAATTTATCAATATTTTTATTAAAAATATCTATCTAAAAATATATTTAAATCGGTACTTAGAGTTTGTGTTATGCACTCAACTAATTTTCAGAAAATTTGAGAAAAAAATTAAGAAAAAGATTATTTAAGGCAAGAGTATATTATTTACTTAAAACATACAATTGTTGTTCTAATTTCTTTTGTTAACTCTCAATGTCTCTTTATGTATTCAATCTATGTTTTTATCTTTTTATCTTTCAAATCTATTCATATTTAAGCCTCGTAATATATGTTGTCACTAAAGATCCAACTGAGTCTATTCCAAACTTTTTAAGTTGTTTCAAGACTTTTAAACTCATGCTAAATCCGTTAAACCATTTCTAAAAACTTATTGGTTCTAGGCCCTCTATTGAACACCAGATCTGGAAGGGCCTAAGAATTTCCGCTAAATGCCTGTGTCTAGAGGTTTCTAAAACCTTCTTGTTTGCGGAGTCCTACATTCGATAATGACAGTTAAAGAGCATATCATGCATTCTAGTCAGCTAAAAGATACCTTCCTTAACTAATGAGTACTAAGGTGTCTGCTAAAGTGTCCGTGCACTTGGTCTATCTCCAGGTTGTTCTCAGCTTGAGTGCTCGCATCATGCTTCTAAGGCATTCTAGAACCTTTCAATGAACGACTTTTACACTCAACATCAGGTTGTTTACCCTAGGGCGTACTCCCGCAATCTGGTCGTAACGCACACATGGGTCTTTTATGTGACTTTAGAGATTCAATCTCGATACCTCCTGATTTTTTGCCTGCAAACAAACACCATCACAGACCCACTTGAGCTTAGACTTGTGCATAGGTTCTGACAAATAAAACTAACTTCTAAGCCTTTTTCTTTTTGACCTTTAATTTTTATGATAATTGTTACCCATATCATTCAATTCGTTTTTTTCATCTAAATCAAAATTTTACTATAAATTCCCAAAATACAGATGAAAATCCAGGACCCCCTTTGTCATCTGTAATTTATCTACTTACAATGCAGCAATAACACTAGTAATCAGGATGAAATAAAATCAATTTTCATGAGCTTATATTTGTTACTTATTTAGTTGTTTTAATTTACATCACTTCGTTTTGAGACATCAAATTTCTTACATGTTATGGATGGAGTTCAGAAAAAAAAATACACTCAAACAAAGATAGGATCACATTCTAAACTACCAACACCGGATATAGCTAAGATATTGAAGGTTAAGCTACTAATAATTTTGTATCGAATATTCTTTGTAGATGATATAATGGCATAAGAAACTCGATCATCTATAAATGCGGTTTTGAAGCCTATATATGCATGAAGAAGAGACTTTCAGTCTTTATTAATGCCTTCAGGTGGATTGACACTGCATCAAAAGCGGCGGTTTCCCTTCCCTGCCATAAGAAAATCCTCAAGGGAACAACCACTTTGCATATTCCACGCCAATATGCTATATTGCGAGAAAAAAAAGTGGCTGTTGGGGAGTAAAATCAAATGACAAATAGGGATAAGGATATTAGATTGATGAAACACTAATGGTATGATTTTTGTTTTTAAGAAGTGTTCTCTCCTTTTCACATGGAAACAGCAAGGCTCCTCCTATGTAAATCTGATGCTAGAAACAATTAAAGACTAAACAATCTTCTACCTCAACTAGTCATTGACAAACATCGTCTCCACTGTAATTAATTTCCAGATGCATCCTAAAGACTACCAAATCTTAACCTGTATACAGAAATTGAGTAAAACAGAAGGAATGGCAAAATAGTTCTTTGACTGGATCTTCCTGCTTTCACCGATTAGGTGGCAGGACATCACCTTTGTGCACCTTCCAGGTACCACCATAAAATTTCGGCTTCATGAGCGGCACTGCTTTCCCAGGGTGATCTTCCCAGTACTTTTCCTGATCAATAACACAAATTGCAACTCTTAGTAGATCCTCGAAGACTGCAATTCCTAAACGACCAACGATGACAACATGGGTTTCATGAGCTTGTACAATATGCTTGGCAACTTAAGTTTGAAAATAAATGAAATGAAAGAAAATATAGAGAAAAAAAGCGACAGAAAAACAGATTTAATTCTTTTAGTAGTTTGAGGATTTGAGATAAATGATGACAAGAAAAATGAGATGAAATTCAATTATAAGACATTTGCTCCGCTCTTCATTATGAATATATTAATTATGTTCGCAAAGTTGAAAACAACACTTAAAGGTTTATATGCACTTGATTTGTTAATGATTCAATATCTTCAAAAAATACTTCATCACTATCTTCAATCTGTTATGAGCCAAATGATAACTCAAAACTAAAACCTAATGAATCCTGAGTCAATATAAAAGAAAGCTTGAGATAAAATGTTATGGCAAGGCTTTATATAGACAAGGATTTATCATCGACGGAGAGCATTTTCATGTAATTCACTTCCAATTGTTATGGATTTTGTATCACTTCAAAAAGAAACCTAAACCTGAAACCTGAAAATTGAGCTACCGATAATTCAGTAATACATATCTTTTAAGTTTCAACAATTTTTAGTATTTTACAATTTCTTATTGTAATTACCAGTTTACATATATGAACTCCAAATCTAATCTTTTCTCATCCAAGTTTTCACCAAAAAGAATATAACTTCCTAACTGCAAAAAAATAGAAAAGCAACATTTTGGTTTAACTAAAAAAATGATTACAATATTAATACAAGAAACTCAGAAAAATGGTGGAAAGAAAATACCTTATAGAGTTGCTCAGAAATGGCGGCACCGATGACGCCAGCGTAAAAGGCTGCAATGTAAATAGTAACGAGAGGCGTAAAAGATTTGGGTCGATAGGGCTCTAACATGTCCCAAAGAAGCGTTCTTTCCCATTTGCTGTAAATAGAGTCTGCATACTTTCTCCACAGATAGCTAGCCATTTTTTTTTCCACCTAAATATATCCAAACTCGTCCATTCCAATCTGATATTTTATGAGATCGATTTTTTTTAATAGGGTTTGAGGTTAGATCGAATTTTTAAAAATAAAAAATTTTAAAATTAAATCAAAATCAGATTTTAGATAAATTTATTCTGAATCAACTTGATATATATATATTTTTTAATTAATTATTTAATTTTATATTTATATAAATATATTGTAATAATAAAATTATTATGTAATATTTTGATTTAAGATATTAATTTAATAAAAATATTATATTTATATTATAATTAAGATATAATTTACATTAAAAATAATATTTTATAAATATTATATTAAATTAAAATTATTAAATTAATTTTAAATTAAATCAATTACGGTTTTATATATATATATATATATATATATATATATATATGAGTTAGATCGAGGTTGAAAATTTATTTTAAAAAATTGGGATGGGATCCGGGTAAGCCTTGCCATCTCTAATAATTTAGCTTGGTGGTGAGAGAAGTAAATGGTAAAAACACCCAAAACCTCACTGAATGAAACTAGCTTCTAAGCATTTTTTTTTCACCTTTTATTTTGGGTGATTGTAAATTATACACCATAATCTCTTACAAGACTTTTTTAAAAAACTCTTTTAGAAAAAATTATTTATTTACCTTTTTTCATCTTAATTTTACAGTTTTTGGATATACATTTTTAATAAGTTATGTAATTTGTAGAATTTCATATCTTTGTAAGTTAAAATTTCATATTTGATAAGTTAAAAAAATTATATTTAAATTTAAGAAAAAAATACTTGGGATAGAATATATTACAAAAATTTTTAAATTTTGGGATATACAAATCTAAAAATTTTAAAAAGTTTTGGGATATATAATTCTAAAGTGTTTTAAGAGCTTTCAAACTTGCAAATTCAAAAACTTTCCGCATTTTTGGGAAGAGTGTGAAGAGAAAAGAAAATTAGTAATTAAATAATTTCATTTAAAATAATTTTAAAAAGGGCATTTTTAGAATTTTCCTATATTTTTATGATAATTGATACCCATACCATTCAATTCGTTTTTTTTTTTAAATCAAAATTTTACTATAAATTCCAAAAATCCAGATGAAGATCCAGAACCCCCTTTGTATAATTTATTTACTTACAATGCCGCAATAACACTAGCAATCAGAATAAAATAAAATCAATTTTCATGAGCTTATATTGTTTACTTGTTTTAATTTACACCACCTCATTTTGAGACATCAAATTTCTTACATGGTACAGAACTACAGATGAAGTTTAGAAGAAAAAAAACACACACACAGGTAGGAAGGTTCAGACTTGAGAAACAAGGAAATTTGATTTCTACTTGAATTTCGAGGTTATATATATCACAGGCAGAATAAGAATGAAAAAGAATGCGGCAACTTCAACCAAGAAAAATGCCAATATACAGAGATATTAGATAAGCTCAAAATGACTTGTCCACTGGTATGCAATATGCATGGAAATGCATGAATCCAGTGTTTAGGTTGACACAGCTGGCATTTCAATCGGAGAAGAAACAGATTCAAGATTCAGGTCTCCAACTCCCTTAGATGGACCAATGTTGCAATGCGGTTGGCTGTGCATTTCGATAGCATCCTTTATTTTTTGAAACTGCAGATGATACGGAAAAGAACCAGATGTAGCTAAGACATTGAAATTTAAGCTACTAATAATTTTGTATCGAATATTCCTTGTAAGTGATATAGTTGCATAAGAAAGTTGATCATCTATAAATGCGGTTTTGAAGCCAATAAATGCATGAAGAAGTGTCTTTCAGTCTGAATCTTCTTAAGGCTGTGCATTGTTAGGAATAATAACTCAAATTTCATAGTAGATCGGTTTGGAATTTGTTGGAGATTTTTTTAAAATTGGTCAGATATTACTTGATGGACAAAAAGACTTGCAAAAGAAGAATTCTAAGATAAAAAGGATTCTTAATAGACAAGTTTGACTTGCAGGAAAAGAATTCTAAGAGGAAAGGGATTCTTAATAAGCAAATTTGTATGGTTATAAATAGGTGAAGTCTCTATAGGGTTAGGTATGAGAAAAAGATGTAAGAGAGTTATAGGATTTTGTAAGATAGACACCTCATAGGAGTATTGAGGTTTTACATCTTATGGGTGTGTATGTTTATTTGTGAGTGAAGTAGAAGAGATTGAAAGGGTCAACATAGGTATGATGTATGGGTGCATATGGGTATGTGTTCGGTTGTGTTGAAATGGTGCATATGAGTATGTGTTTGTTTAGGTTGAGAATACTTCATAGGACTAGAGAAGATTATGAGGTCTATGGGTATTGATTGTTGAGTGGTTGATACGTTTTGATGTATATTTGTAATTCTCTACAACTAATGAATCTTGTTTTTCATCTGTGGATGTAGGTCAATTGGACCAAACCACTTTAAATTGTTGTCTCTTGTATAATTGATTAATTATTTGATTTCGCTTTCACTGGTGTGATTGGATTAAGGCTTTTTAGCCTAACATACATCACCTTATACATTTTTTTTTGCCATTCTCTCAAAAAAAACCACCATCAAAATAAGAAAAACTTTGTATTTCTAATCTTTCAAGCAAGGTAAGCAATGCTGAAAGCTTCTAATGGTCAACCTATAGTTCAATAAGCAAAGTATTCTAGAACCAAAATTTGGTGCCACAACCTTTACTTTAAGGGGAGTGCCTTGTTTTTATTTGCACTACAAGAAAATAAAAGATTAATAGTAATTTTGTAACAGCGTTTCACTTACAAATGTCGCTAACTTTCGTGTTTTTATAAAACTTAAGGCATTTATTATCAAAATGTCACTGAATATTCAAATAGCGGCGTTGTTACTTATAAAAACCACCCAAGACTTGATATGAGTGATGTTTTTCAACTAAAATGTCTTGAATAATCTTACCTTAAAATTTTGAGTGAATACTAAAGATATTTTTGGTAGAAAACGTCTTGAATAATCACGTTAAAAAAATGATAAAAAATACTAAAAGTGTTTTTGGCAGATAATACCTTCAATAATCCCCTTATAAAAAATATATGCGATTATTAAAAGTGTTTTCTACCAGAAACGCCTTTAATAATTCCACAAAAAAAATTCACAAGCTTATTAAAGGCTTTTTTTGGTAAAAAAATGACTTCAATAAATATCATATCAAAATTTTTGGATCGTACGGATGTTAACCATAAGGTGGTAAGTTTGATCCCTCCCTTTAGCCTTTTTTGGGTTTTTACAGAGATTATTTGTAATTGATTATTTTAGATATTTTCTTGACAAAAAAGCCTTCACCAATTGTTTTAAAAAATTTTAGAGAGAATGTTGAAGGTGTTTTTCATAGAGAAATGCTTTTAATAATCCATAGAAAAAATATAGAACCGATTCTTAAGGTGTTTTTGGTTGAACTCGCCTTCTATAATCCAATTAATAAATTTTTAGTTAGGATTATTAAAGGCAATTTTTATCAAAAACCCCTTCAATAATTTATAGACAAAAGTTGGAATAGATTTTTTAAGTCGTTTACACTTTTAATATTCTAGACAATAAATTTGAATGGTCGGATTATTGAAGGCGATTTTTTTCAAAAATACCTTTAATAACATTTTGTTATAGATTATTCAAGGTGTTACCTGTAGGAAAATACCCTTAATAATCCATTCAATTAAGTTTTAATTGGTATTATTGAAGGCGATTTTTTTTAAACACCTTGAATAATCCATACAAAAAAATTAGAATGGATTCTTGAAGGTGTTTTTTGCCCAAAACACATTTAATATTTCATAAGAAAAAATTTTAGATGAGATTATTGCAGGAGGTTTTGGTAAAAAATACTTTCAATAACATGTTTTTTGGAATTATTGAAGGCGTTTTCTTGCTAAATATGCTCGTAATAATCCACAAAAAAATATAGAACGAATTCTTAAAGGCGTTTTTGAGTGAAAACGCCTTCAATAATCCAATAAATAAATTTTTAACAAAAATTATTGAAGGCATTTTTTTTCAAAAATGCATTCAATAATCCATACACAATATTTTGTATGATTCTTGAAGACGTTTTTTTTTCAAAACACCTTTAATATTCTACACAATATATTTTTAAGTAAGATTATTAAATGTGGTTTTTGTTAAAAACGCATTCAATAACATTTTATTATGAATGATTTAAGGCATTTTTTTGCTAAAAACACATTCATTAATCCCATCAAAAAAAATTTGATATTGTATATGTCAAGTCAGTTGTAGGTTTATGCCTAGAAAATGTTTGAAGTTAGTTGTATAGTTATGCCCAGAAAATATTTGGTTTATATATGTGTTACTACGAATTACATTTTGAAATTTATATAATAAACATTATTGTATTTCAATAAATTGACCATACATCCAAAATTAAAATTGATAATGTTGCCATATTAATAAACTTTTCTAAAATAATTGAACTTAATAATATATTAAATACACATAGTGTATTCATATTAAGTATATCAATAATATTAAACCAATACCTTAATGTACAAACTTAAAGTTTTCATTCAACATGGCATGTTAAAAACATTATAACAATTTATTCCTCATATATTTACATTCAACCAACAATGTCTAACTTCAAGGTTTATCAACATTGATAAATGATAATACATACTCACACCATTTTTTACGGACTTCATCCAGTTCCTCTTTCGTGAAACTTTCTTTACTCTCCTACTAAAAAAAAATCAGAAGTAAATGTTAATAAATGAGAACATAAGGTACCTTTTTATTTTTATAAAGATATAACGAGTTTATGAAATTTATACTAACATTAAATGGTGTGGTTATAAAATAATGTAAAACTATCTCCCGTATAAAACGAAGGATATAATATCCACATTCAATATTATCGGGTTGACAATATACCTAAAAATTAAATTGAGTGGGTTTAAGAAATATTTATCTACACAAATTTAGCATAAAAGAATATATTTCACATTTACTGGTAATGACACCCATTTCAATTTCTTTATCTTCTAATCAATGCAAATATTACCTTAAATTGAAAAGAAAAAAATTATTTAATATATAAATAAAATTACTTATAAAGAAACATAAGATATATAATATAATAAAGTGTAATACCTCTTTATAAAAGTTTGAATATCGGGATTAGGCATGACCATTGGATTTACTGAATTAAATAAGTATGGCGTTAAAGATTTGGTGTCAATCACAATAAGCATCCAATGACGACTGTAAAATAATAAAAATGATATATTCAGATTATGCATCAGATCGAATTTGGGTAAGGTTAAAATAATTAAGGTTGGAATATAACTTACTGTGCATTATACGAGAGCAAATAATAATCAACCAGTCTTTTCATGCATTGGATCACATGATTAGCATGATAAGTGACTATACCACTCTGCTCACTAATGAAGTTAGGGTCAACAAATCTAAATTTGTTAATCAATTGTCTCCCCTTAAGCTCTCTATATAGGAAACTACATGATAATAATCAATACTACTAGTTAGTATTACACCCTAATATAGATTACTACATATTAAATGTGCATATTTATATTTATAAGCTAATATCATATAAACAACAATATCAACAGCTGATAATGAGCAAACATATAAATTATTAATATTAATAATGAGCTTGACTTAATATAAAAATTATTAATATCAATTATGAATTAATCCATATCTGATCCGATCTATAAATACCTATAAGCCATACCATTAGTTTTTTTTTTCAAAATAAGGTCATTAAAAACTTTTATTCTCAAACTAGATATTTTTGTTCTTATTTCTTAAAAATTAGTTTTTTTGCCACATGCCACGTCAGTTTTTTACTTCTCTCTTACCCTTATTTTCTTTCACTTTCGGTTTGTTTTCCCTCAACTGATTTCCTTGCACAGCTACGAATCCGGATGCTAGATTACTTTGATAAATTGAATTTGTGTAAAGGGGGAGATGAGATACGAGGAGACATAAACTGTAGGTAAAATAAATGGCAACATCGAAGCCCGGATGGAAGGAGGTACAGTCGTCATTGATTCTTCCGACATGACTTTGCTTCCTTAAGTTTTTGCTGAGAGATCAAAAGAAGGGCACCAACAGAATTGCACAAGAAAAGGGTAGAGAGAAAAATGTTTGAAATGAGGGTGGAGCCTCGATTTGAGGGTTTAGTTCAGGCCATTGCCTATCAGTCTTTTTTTTTTCTGATGTTTTTTTTTTTTTCCAATAAGAGTGAAGCAAATCCTTAAAATCTTCTCTATACCTGAGAACAAACTGCTCAGAGTAAAACAGAAGAGATAAGAATCTGTTTTGCTATAAGAATCCTATGATAGAATTTATCCCACAAAACAAAAATGCATGATGAAAGTCAGAATAAATCAAAGTTCAAGAAGCTTGGCAATTTTCTCTACCGGCAAGACAGGGCATACATTGAAACAACTAGCTTCTAAATTATTTGTTTTCAATTTAATTGTGAATTCCAATTTCCAGGATCCAAGGTATGCGCTAGAAAAAGACACCAAATTGGATGAGCAACCTAGGCCTTATCTAAGGAGGAGACAGAAGCAGAAAGAACAATACCAGAATACTTTGCACTATCCGATTTATTTTGATGCTACTTTTAAAACATGGTAACAGCATCGCACAAAAGAGCATATTAATTACAGATGGCATGATGCAGCTCAGATGCATGAAAAATTGAAGCCAAGTAACTACAGATACAAAGTACAAACACCTGTAGCTCAACAATCTAAAAGGATCCTAATTCCTGAGTTCATTAATATCCTTCTTCTGCACAGTCTCATCATATCTGCGTGGGTCATTTGGCTTCGCAGTAGCCTTCCTGCCCACTTCTGCTCCATACTTCCGCAGCTAAGATCACTTGGAACATGCTTAGGAGATAATTATTGGCTGGGCAAAAGAACAGACACAGGGAATGCTGAAGACCCATTATTGGGAGCACCCTGTATCTTGAGAATTGAAGTTACCAAGTTATATATCTGAACATTCTCAAAAGATGGGACCTTTCCCCTTGCAAATTGAGGACCATGACCAATAAAAATAGTCCTCATGGAGAAAACTGCATTGTCATACCCATATGATCCTCCACATTCTTTTCCCTTAGTCCTTTTCAGTTCCACCTTAAAACTCTCCTCAATCAGCCCTATTATGGGAGGAATCCGGTCACTTGCTGCATAATGTAGCCGACTGGGTAGCTCCTCCTTAAGATAAACCTTCAAATACTTCCCATTCTCAACTTTCCCAGATTCCAGTCCTTCTTTCATCTTTGCAACAACATCCGATGGTGCATAACCAGGTGGTGGACGAATCGCAAGCAATGGACTATAAGACTGAACCCATTCGGCTGGAATTTCAATCCAAGATGCTAAATCATCAAGAAAAATTAGCTTTTTATCACATGTACCAACCATCCCATGATCTCCAACCATAATTATAGTAACATCCTCAAAAATCTCTCTCTTTTCTAAACCATCGATTAACCTCCCAATCATTCTATCAATTCTGGCAACAGCTTCAGTAATCTCGGGATCATCAGCTCCAACCTGGTGACCCTGATGATCAGGATCCTCAAAATACAATGTCATAAACACGGGAATTTCACTACTAGGCAAATCAAAATAACTTAAAACGGTATCAACTCTATCCTCAAAAGGAACAGAACCATTATAGAACTTACAAAACTTTTCAGGACAATTCCAAGAACCCTTTTTTACCTCACTTCCAGGCCAAAAATAGGTAGCAGCCTTTAACCCATGATTGACCAGAGTCTCCCAAAGTGGCTCACCTAACCACCACTTGGGTTCAGGACTTGCCATGGTGAAAGCCTCACCAGTGTTAGGATCCAAAAAATAGTTATTTATAATACCATGATAAGCAGGATAAAGGCCGGTGGCAATGGAGTAATGATAGGGAAAAGTAAGAGTAGGGAAAACAGGAATCAAACCCACCTCAGCTTCAGTCCCATTAGCAATCAAACGGTGGATGTTTGGTGTTGAGGTCTTGAATTGGTACCCAAATCGAAACCCATCAGAGGAAATCAAAAGAACCACTGGTTTTTCCAGTTTCTTCAAAGGACGGGACACGTTGTGTGCTGCAGCTGAAGAGGAAGATGATGAAGAGGAAGAAGAGTAAAAGAGGAAAGCAAAGGCAAAGGCAGCAGAAAGAGCAATGCAAGTGAGGAGTATTAAAGCAATGAAGATGATGGTAGTTCTGGGCCTTGAAGGAGATTCTTTTGCTGAAGGGTCTAAAGAAGAATCAGTGTTGAAAGAAAGGAGAGCTCCGGATTGGCTTGAAGGGTCTTCTTCTCGGGGTGGGCCTAGTATTGGCTTTGTTTGACTAACGAATCAGAACCCATCATTTCTTTCTTCTGCTTTCTCCACAGTTTCTGTGAAATCAAGGCCTCAGAGACGATTAAATTAGAGATCAAGAAGACTTAGAGGGTACAATGATAAGTGGTAGATTGGAGAGTGAAATGCAAGAATTAGAGGTGTTTCGATGACGGTTGGCAAGTCGCCTAAGGAGTCTTTGTTTGGGAAAGTGAAGTGGACAAATGGAGTCCAGTTGACGAAGAGCCCTTTTATTCGGAATATTCCAGTCACCGGAGAATGATCAGAATGCTGACCATTACTTCGCTGTCCATTTGCGCTGCTTTAATGCATTACGGGTCCCACTAATACAATTTGCCTCGGCCCAATATATAGTTTAATCCCAAGTTTAGAACGTTGTCGTTTCCAATATCAAATTCCAAATCCTAGTAGCTCAAGGAGAAATATTTTCTTCTTTTCTTTGTATAAAAGGAAAAGCCAGGTTGAAACAGAAAACTACAGTTGAACTAGCGGACCAGTTGATCAATACAAAAGACTGAATTTTCATTTTTAAATGTACTTTAATTTTCATTTTTAAATGTACTTTAATTGATAAAAATCGAAACTTTTAGTGGAGCAATGGCGTATCCAACCATGGGTGAAGCCCATAGAAGAATCACCGATTACCTAAACAAATTTTCCGACGCCGTTACCTACCAAGATGTAGCTTCCCTTGCTCAGCTCTTTTCCTTGTCCTCCAACTCTCCCTCTCTGCTTTCCCTTGCTGATGCCCTCAACTTCTTCCAGGTCTCTCTCTATTCCTCTTTATTCTTATCTATCTATTCTTTCAATAAATCAAAATAAATTTGTCATTTTTTTTCTTTGTGATAGGATGCTAACAGATTGATCAAGCAGTCAGATAAGTTTTCACAGTTTGGTGAGATTTTGGCCCCTCTTTTTTGTTCTCTGCTAGGCTATAGACTTGGAAACTTGGTTGATGCCTACCATGCCTTTGAAAAATTTGCCAAGTAACTTACATTTTCCTCTTTTGGTTTTTAAGATATATTTTCTAAAAAGTCTTTTTTGATTAAATAGAGATGTGTATGAAATGTGGGTAATGGTTAGAATCTTGTTTTGGCAGTGCTTTTATTCAGGAATTTAGGAATTGGGAATCAGCATGGGCATTGGAGGCATTGTATGTTATTGCTTATGAAATTAGGGTTCTTGCAGAGAGGGTATTGATGGCATAACCTTTTTAGTTTTTGTTTTTTTAAAGTAAATTTGCTTTTGATTTAAATTGAGATTGGGATGTTTTAAATTGTAGGCTGATAGAGAGTTGGCTTCTAATGGAAAGTCCCCGGAGAAATTGAAGGGAGCTGGCTCATTTCTTATGAAAGTATTTGGTGTTCTCGCTGTAGGTTTCTTTGTCTTCTCAATGCTTGTTTATACTTCATTGGCAGAACTAATAGCCATTGTTGCTAATTGTTGGTCATGACATGTGGATTCCAGGGAAAAGGCCCGAAACGCGTGGGAGCATTATATGTGACTTGCCAGCTGTTTAAAATCTACTTCAAGGTAATATTTATATTTCTTCTACCTTGCTAGAATCTTTTCGCTCTCTGTCCTACATTTTTCATGAGTTTGGTTTTGGCAAGTGGATTTTATGGTTAGAACTGGGCATTTTGGAGGTTAAGAAGTATTTAAGATTTTTTGTCAGCTTTTTCCTGGGATATTTTTTCCTCTCCATCCAACATGCTTACCAAAAGCAATGCAAATGATTCAGTTTCGATATCAGTTATGAATATTTTCTCTTTTGAACTGAGAAGGGCACAAGTGGCTATGCTACATATGAACATTTGCTTTACTTTTCAGCTTGGTACAGTTCACCTCTGCTGAAGTGTCATAAGAAGTATTGAAACTGCTCGTATTTTTTATTTTGAGGAATTTCCTAGAAGAGACAAGGTAAGTTCAATTTGAATGATGCTTTTTCCTTCTGGTATTTTTCATGTATACAACTCTTTGATGAATGCTACCTCCTTTTGCAGGTCACCTACATGTATTATACTGGGCGTTTGGAAGTTTTCAATGAAAATTTTCCTGCTGTAAGTAATTTAAATTCTGTGGGAAAAAGCTTTGCTTCTTTCTTTCTGAGATATAAACTATATTTGTGGTTGTTTTGTGTTTGCCTTTGGAAGCATGATTAATTTTGGCTTTAGACCCAGTTTATACCTAGCATCCAAGCTTCTCATTATTATTTTATCTGGTTTCATGTTGTCAATGTTGGATGACATAAGTTGCAAAGTATTGCATTTGAATTCCACGTCCATTTGTAATGACTACTTGTACTGTATACTTTTGTAACCGGGCAGGCTGACCATAAGTTATCATATGCCTTGACATATTGCAACCCTCTCAGAGAAGCAAATATAAGGTTTGTTTCTGATGTGCTTTTTGTATATATATCTTGCATCTGCATAGTAGAGAAGTTACATCAACTGATCTATTAAAAATTGTTGCTGCACTGATCATCTACTGTGGCACTTGACAACTACTATGTGAAATTTCTCTTCTTTGGATTTTTTTTAACATTCTCTAACACATATGCTTCAACTTTTATTTCATTTCAACTGGTATTTCTCACTTGTTTTGTTGAGTTTTCTAGTTACCCTTGATGTCCTTATTTTGTTATTTTATCTCTTATTTTAGCATATGCATGGAGGTATCAATATTAATCAAATCTAATTACTGATAAAGTTAAATATTCCGTTAAGTAATCTGTTCATAAATGTTACAGATTTATTTCTATTTTGAATGTATTCTAAAATTACCATTGTGGAGGATGGATTTTAGTGAGTACGAATATTTTGACATTAGAAGTTGGGGATGACACAAAATATACTATATTAACAACCTCATTATTAACATTGTCTGGATAAGAAAATGCTAAAGCGTCAAGCAAGATGATTCACCTAATCTTACTTCTGCGTGAAACTTCTACACGAGAATAGCAAGTTAAATCCAAGTTTTTAATATTTATTTGATTCTTATTTCTTTCAGTTTGATTTTTGTAGGATGATATTGAAATACTTGATACCGGTGAAGCTTTCATTAGGCATCTTACCTAGAGCTTGGCTACTAGAGAAGTATAGCCTCCTTGAGGTACAGCCTCTCTTTATTATATTTACTTATTTTTCGTTCTTTCTTGTCGTCATGTGCAAGTGCTTCTTTCGCACTGAACATGTATTTATAACGTGATTTTACTATCAAAAGGAACAAAAGAAAATCAGATGAATGAAAGGCCAAATTGCAAATATATTTTTAACTCTTTTATAGTTGGTTCAACATATCAAATTAGTAATTAACAATGGTTGTATTCACAGTACAGCAATGTTATAGAAGCTCTAAAGAGGGGTGATCTTCGACTTCTTCGGCATGCTCTCCAGGAACATGAAGACCAGTAAGTTTATCATCCTGTTTTTGTTGTTAGTGAAATTAACTCGTGAAGACTGGGTCCGACTATTCTTCCCCGCCTGTCAGGTTTTTGAGATCTGGTGTGTATCTTGTTCTAGAGAAGCTAGAGCTCCAAGTTTACCAAAGATTGGTTAAAAAAATGTAAGAGCTCAAGCCACATGACCCCGTAAGCTACTCTCTTGAATAGTTTTTGCTCAGATATTGATTGTAGCATTCTTGTCCTGTAGTTACTTCACCCAAAAGCAGAAGGATCCAAGCAAAGGTCACCAGTTGAAATTGGAAGTAATTGTCAAAGCATTGAAATGGCTTGAGATGGACATGGATCTGGACGAGGTACTTTTTTTTTCCATTACATTCTTCCCTGCAATTGTATTTGGTTATGAGAATTTACCAGTATCCTTTTTCCATTTTGCAGGTTGAGTGTATCATGACCATTCTTATACACAAAAATCTTGTGAAAGGGTACTTTGCTCACAAGAGCAAAGTAGTTGTTTTAAGCAAGCAAGATCCTTTCCCCAAATTAAATGGAAAGCCTGTAAACTCGTAGAGATTTAACTCTTAAATGGTATTATACAGTTTTGTCAAACTTTTTAACTTTGATGATGACATGCAGGCTGATTTGATTATAAAATGATGAATCGATAGAGTGATGCCCGGCCAAGCCGGATTTTGCTGTACCTTTATGTTATATCAAGTATTTCTTCATCCATACGAATGGTTTAGATTCTAACTTCGAACATTGAGATTCTCCATAACAGACGATAAAGTGAAATACACAAGTAAATATTGAGAGCATCCTGCGGCCATAAAAAATGGAGAGAAAAAAAAAAGAAAGAAAACCTTGGGAGCAACGATATTTTTACTCTGATGCACCAATGGGCAAAACAGAGAAAAAGAGTTGCTCCATATTTCACACATGTAAGGATATATGCTTAGAATCAGCTGCTCATTCATTCGTTACCACAATAGATCCAATCCGTTTTTCAAGAGCCATTGGAGAGAGTACTCTGTATATTTGAAGGCATTAGGATGTTGAAACCATCAGCTGCGGTTGACACAATCATTCCAGGAATTTGAGCATGCCAATGGAGTTCTTTCAAGTCCTTCTGCCCCTGTTCATAGTGGAAAGAGTGTTAAATGATAGAAGACAGCAATCATCCTCAATTTCAATGCTTTTATTAAGTACCTGATGAACAAAAAGAAGTTGCGGAGGTAAATCTTCTGGGGCATTTACTTGCTCCCTTGTTTGAGCTTTGAATTCTGCTTCCTCTTCCTCATCCTTTTCTAAAGAAAGATCCCATATTCTGGAAATTGAAGCAAAAGAAAATTAAATTAATACATCGATTAACCAAATTGTGTGAGAGAGATCTTCAAATCTCCAACATCCTATTCCTGGCATCTTCTCCATCAAGTTTGTTAGCCTAAATATTCTAGTGCTTTTGAAATACTTACGTTAACTGATTATCAAATGAAGAAACTGCCAAAGTGGAGGCTTCATGTGGACTCCACTCAATGGATGTCACTGGGTATTTATGGTACTTAAAATGAGCTACCACTGTATTTCCATCCTGCCCACACAAAATCCAGTCAATGGATTGAGTAGAGTTCGGCAGAAAACAATCTTCTCAATTAGAAATTAGAAAGTAAAAGCTTAGAACTTTAACTCCAGCCTAAGATAAAAAGAAGAGCACAATTGGATGCAAAAGAAGTGCGAATGAATCTGGAAAGAATCTTCAATAACAAGATGTATCACGTTTAAGATAAACAAAAATTAGCCCAGAGGTATAAAGTCCAAGGTCAGATTTCCTTTTTCATCAAACAAAGTATCATCCTCTCCTAGGCAATAATAGACATACCTTGAGCAACCTAAAATCATGAATTGAAAATGTCCCATCATCACTTCCTGATGCTAACATACAACTAGCCTGCCTAAATAAAGAATCAAGGATGCACAAAGTCAAAAGTTTGATGATAGAAAGAAATGGTGTTAAAGAAAGGGTAAATAAATATATCAAGACTGATATACCTGTTCCATGAGATGACATTCACATCTGCATCATGTGCCTTAAAAGAAGCTGCTGGTGACTTCCCTAAACGGATATCCCAAATTGCAATAGTCCCATCCACAGAACAGGAGACGAATGCATGAGGTTCTGATGGACTCCACTGTGTATAAAGAGTTGAAAAGAGAAATGGTGATATTAGATCCAAGTAGTGCAAACAAAGTTTAATTATAAGTTTAGAATTCAAAAAGATTCAATCATTACTTTACGACAAAATTACGTACTTGTAGGTCTTCCACACTTGCAGAATGGCCAACAAATGGAGTAGCATCAATATTCCATGTTGAACCAGATGTAGGCTCCCACAAATGAATACAGTTCTTGCAGTCCCCTACAAAACATGAAGAACATCACCATCACAATAGAACATCTTCAATCCATAAAGCAAATGACAGCTCAAGATTACTGAGAAGTTAAAAGAGAATTTGTCACAATTATTACTCAACCAATACCAGTTACAAGTCTTCCAGCAACAACAGGACTCCAATCAATTGCATAGCCTTCATCTTTGTGGCCACGGAAGTTAACTAAAGGAGCCTGATTAAAAACTGAAGAAGCTCCCTGGATACCTTCTGTTTCTGACTCTGCTAAAGCATTCAGATGAGAACTGAAGTCCCATAGCTGCAACAAATAGTATCAAAAAGCAAAGCAAGAAAAAGATCATGTCCCTGGTTGATCCACAGATATACCAGAATGCCCAATCATTAAATGCATTAAAATATAAGTTAGATGTAAACTGAAATCAAAGAGTTAATCTCTCCCAAAATAAAGAAGAAAACAAGGCAAAAGATATTGAAAGGTACATAAAGAATTTCCTTTCTGTATGCTTTCTTGTAAGTATCACCGGGATTTACTCATCATACGTTTTCTTGTTCACCAATTCACTCTCCCCATCATACCCAATTCTCCATTTTCTCACTTTTGATAGTTTTTTGGTTAATAACTAAAAATTTTTGGCCAATTAGTTAATTAAATTTAAAAAAGCTAACAATCGACAATATCTTTGGATTATGAGTCTGACCTGAACATGACCACTATCAGCCCAAGATGCACATATGTGAGGATTTTGTGTCATGGCACGTATGCGATTAACACATCCATGATGAGCTACCTTTCGCAACTGCCACAACAAGAACAAGTGAAAAAGGAACAATATAAGTCTAACAATAAACCAGGAGATGATATAACTAGAAATGTTGAATCAAACAATAAATTGCCTGTAAAACTGGTGCGCCAGATCCACCTTCTTCTTCATCTTCACTATTCTCACTATCACTACTTTCAGCATCCATATCAGGGTCATCCTCTGCAGATTTGGTAGGAACTAGTTCACGCCTTGTCCCAGAAACATTACTTACTTTAAACACTCCAATAGAATTCCAAGAAGCTTTCTCTGCCTGCAAAATCATAAACAAGAACATCAATACACAGAATAATATTAACATGACCAGAAGAGATCAAATGAACTTAACACAAAGTCACAAAAGTAAACTATCTCCTCTGAGTGGTTCAGATAAGATGAATTTTGCTCCCTTTGATCCCATGATTATTAGCTCACCTGAGTCCCTGCAACAAAATATACTGTATGTGGAAAATCTTTCCGGTCTGAACCCAATGAATCGCGAACAATATCAAAGCTGTCAAAAATTATCAAAATTCTAAATTAAAACCAATAAAACAAAACATCCAAAAAATATAAAGTAAGCACCTTTCAAATACCCTTTTACATTTTTTATAAACCTTTCCAAATTCTCTCACTTTTCCCATCACTTACTCAGCAACCAAACACCAAAAAATGGACAAAAATTTTCAAAAATACCTCAAACAAGGCCATCCAATATGAAAAGCATGAAGAGAATTGTAAGCAGAAGGGTCACACTGAAGCTCTTCTCCTTCCTCCAATTCGTCAACTCCTGGTTGCCAAACCCTTGGCCGAATCGTTGGCACCGACGAAGACGTTGATGCTCCATCTCCTTTCTTTGAGCCCTTTTTAAGAAATCAATTACAGAACAATTTATTGTTACAAAAAAAAAAAAAAAAACAAATTCAAGCTCAATTTAAAATTAGATTAAGAATTGATTTTTGCAATTGAACCTTGTTCTTTATCTTAGCCTTTTTAGGGTTTTTGAGAGTGCGAGCCATTTTCTTCCTTTTTTTTTTTGGGGGGGGGGGGGGGGGGGAGGGGAGGAGATGGGTTCGAGTTAACACTAGAAGATTTAGCAGCGACAAGGGAAAAAGGAGGGCTTTACGGTAGCCCCTAGGGTTTAAGACTTTATACGCTTTAACCAGGCCAGATCTTTTGGGTCTTTTTTAAATGTTCCCTTTTGTTTGTTGAAATCACATTTAAATCCTCAAACTTTCAAAAATTAGAAACTGAACCTTCTAAAATGGGTGACTATGAAAAGAAATCCCACTAAAAACTCGTTCGAAACAACAAAGATTTTTTTTTTTATTTATAAGAGCTCAATCTTCCATTGCACACTAGAGGAAACTTAAGCATGTGATGTGATTTATATGGATTAGATTTTGTGCTTTTAACAATATTTGATAAGAGAAAAAATTTATTAATTTGAAATTAACATAAAGCGTAACAGAAAAAAAAAATATTTATTGTTGGTAATTTAAAATATCATGTATTTTATATTGAATAAAAAAATCATTTATTTATGGTTTAAAAAAATTACTTGTTTGATTTAAGTAATTGAATTAAATATTATAGTAGATCAAGTTATTTAGACTTATTAAAAATTTCTTAATAGTTCAAAAAATTTTAGAAGTTAAAGATTGATCATTTGAGTTTGTTTGATAAATGAATTTATTATTTTAAAATAATTATTTATTATTTAAAATAAATAATTATTTAAATAATGATAATTTGAACAAAAAAAATGATTATAAAGATTATCATAATTTTTAAATAAAATTTTGTGATTGTGATATCTTATAGACATTATTATCTTTAAAATTTCATTAATTCTTATTTAAAGAATTTTAAAATTTTATTATATTTTTCTGAACATTATTATCTTTAAAATAATATTCTTCACGTATCAAGCCATATATATTTTTCTTTTCTTATTACTTCTATTTTTCTCAAATTTTTCATTCATTTACGTCAATGACTGGAACATGTTCCTTTACATATGTACTACTAGAAAAGGATTAAGTCAATATAAAGAAGAAAAAATGAACAAAAATCTTGCCTAAGTATACGATCCCATAATTACAAACTGTTGGGTAATGGCATAGATTTCTCAGCAGCTGATCAACTTTATCTGCAAGGTTATGAAACGGGCAATATACATCAGCTTATACAGAACAACTATGTTTATTTTGAGTTATAGGCTCGCATTTTTACCCAAGGATATGGAAATGCTGGTAAATAGAATGAAATTCAACAACAAAGACATGGATACCTCCTTTTTCTTGTTATGAGAACCAGTGTTGCAAAGCCCACCATGATTACGACTCTAATCACCTGAGGTAAAGAAGAGAAATTAGCAATGACATTTTGCAGAAAGAATCTCTTTCACGACTTATTGTTTTTATCCAACGTTGATGAAGGTATTAGGCAGTGACAAAGAGACTATAGGAGCATTAAAAGAATGCGTAGAAAAACATTCAGGATGATTCAAATTTTAATGGAATGCTGAAGATGAAATGGATTCACATCATGAAGTTAGATTAATTATTTGTCATTATGTCAACCTTCATTAGATCTCAAGGAAGATCTAATATCTTCTTGCAAAGGTAAATATATCATGTTACTTCAATGGTAAAAGAAAAAGTATAACCTGTCCAACAGGTCCTATGGAGTCTTCAGGATCCATGGAATTCTCAACCTTTGGTCTTAACTTTTTAGAAGTCTGCCCATCTTCATTCGCCTTAATAGCGGTGCCAGCATCGGTATTAACCTGAAAATAAAAGGCAAATGAAAAGGTTTGGTTATGATATTAGAATCAACTGGAAAAAGATCCAATGCAACCAAATCTGAACATGTTTAATCATATCAGACTCTTTTCAACTTCCAGTTTATTGGCTGGCTGCTGTCTTATCAAACCAAGAACTTGGTACAGTTATCCTCAAGAGACACTAGTAGTTTAGTCCATTAGAATACAAATACATAAGAAAAGCCTTGCATTATGTCCACTCAAGAGGGATGACAATCAAACATATGTAGATATGGTGTTAACTGTGTCATATGAACTGTTCCTTTATAAGCTTTATATGCCAACAAAAAAAAAAAGGAAAATTGGCAACATCTGCCTAAGGTCTAAATTCAGTGCAGAGATTGAAAACAGTGTGCATAAAGGTTCCTTATGCTTTTTATTCCATCAAGATGCATGTGCATGCTGCAAAGTCAATTCCAAGTTCTTAGCATATTGCAAATCCTGAGTGCTTCTTAGTAGCTATGTGAACTATGTAGGGCTTGAATCGGTAAGAATGGTGTAATAGGTGACTTTATTTCCTGTGTTCAGTTCCACGATCAATGAAGTACCTTTTGATAGACAATTCACTATAGTTTTGATTTCTTCACCAAAGAATCAAAATTTTCTGAATAATATTTTTATCTTGAATGCTGAAGAAGGATTAATCAATTCTTCCTTGTTATATTTCCAAGCATGGACCCAAGCACAGTAAAATAAGTGTAAACCATTGCAGTTAATGGGAGAGAAACACTGATTTGCAGAAATATATTTTTTGTTTTTTCACTAGTTTACGGAAATAAAAACCTAAGACAAATGGCAGATGCCAAGACCTTTTATTTTCTTGTGCAACAGCATTGTAGCACAAAGTACAAACATGAAAGAGTCAAGATAGTAAAATTAATGTATCCAATATTAGTGAAACCTTAAGGCTTTATGGGATATCTTACAAACCTCTCCTGGATTTTTTGGATCACGAGCACTCAACTTTCTCTGGTGGGTATTTGTTTCATCCCAGAAACCTCCCATAAGATCCATTATTTGTTTGCCACCAGTTGTTATGCATAAACATTTTGCTTCACCTGGAAATATCCAGAGATCAGAGCTTCCAAAGGAACAATGGTCACCACAAAAAATAGCCATTGTTTTCAGTTTTTCATTTGAAGTTCTTTCAGCTTCTCGTGTATCCCTTTGGAAAATTTTGTCTCCACTCTCCTTTGTTACTAAACTTGTTCTAGAATGTTGCCTTTTGGAAAACAAGTTCCAAGACTGGTTGCCTTTTGGATGCTTGTCAAGCATTCTGTGGGAGAATGCAGCTTTCTCTATTGTCGATGCTCTCCTGAAATCTTCCGAATATTTCTTCTCTTCCTTCTCATCACTTTCTTTCTGTTTAACTTTGAATCTATTTTTCAAATCTAAAATTTTTCTTTCTGTTTGAATACATGCTACTGTTGACTCCTTCCACTGCTCAGTTTCCTTAGATGATGCAGCCCCATATATAGGGTTGACAAAACCAATTGTTTGTACTTTTTCCCTAATACTTATTTTGGTTTGCTCAAATTCCTTGGTATTGATCCTTCCCAAAGTTACCTTTGATGGTATGATCTTATCTGTCTCAACTTCATTAAGATGTGAATTTGCTAGAAAAGAGTCCATTCCAATATTTTTTATCTGAGGTGGTGGTTTAATAGAAGGTTTAACATCCTGACACAGATCAAGTTCCATTAATCTTAATAATGTGCCTAAATCACAATAACAATTGGAGAATTTCAAGCAACAAGGTCGATATACCTGATTCAGACTATCCTCAAACGCAGTTATCATTTTCCTTATATTGCTATGGGCTTTCCCTGCTGGTCCCTGCTTCTTGGAGTTATTAGCCTTCTCTAGTTCCGAAGGAACTGAATCCTGGTGATATAATTCAGTTAGATCGACATTGACTGCTTCTGACATGGACTTGGCTGATGTATTTCCTTCATTTTCATCTCTGTCATTCTAAATAGTCATACGAAATGAACATTAAGAAAACTCAATGTTTGTTAGTCAAGAGCAAAAGGTTTTTACGGCAGTGCTAAGTAATCCTTAACTGTGCTCTTTTGCTTCTGAATAGAATAACTTCTGTCTCTGCGGTCACTATAGAACTTAGCCAAAGGAACTGACACTAGGCTGGCTTCATTAGCTAGCAATCCATTTTGGAAAAAACTTTCTTGTGAACCTAGAGAGGGGGGAGCACTCAATACATCAAGAAAAAGCCTTTTGTAGTTGAGTGCACTGTTTTATTTATTTATTTCATTTCATGTTCCCTCATTTCAGGGAAAAAGGAAAATGAAAGTTCAGTAAGCAAGATCAAACCTGAAACTTCATTATAACCAACAGAAGCGCTTTTGGGACTTCCATGACCACTATTGCAAAGCTCATCACGTTTCTTCTTCACTGCAGATTCTCTCTGAAAATAAATTCAAAATATAACTTAATTATGCTAGGGAAAGGACTAACTTTATCAGGATCACAAATTTAAAGCAAGATACAGTAGGCTTGCCATTTATCATACAGCGTAACGCAGTTCATCATTTACGATATAGAGTACATTCGATATTACTGGCTTATAGTATAAATTATCTAGAGAATATTAAACATTTGATTTCCAGTTGAATTTACAGCTATAACAAGGGAACGGTTCTGTAAGTCCAGTGGCAAGAAGTAATGATTCATTGCATCAAAAGCAAAAGGGTTAAAGTAAAGGAAAAATACCATTATCCGGATTCTCTGGCGCTCCTCTTCACTGAGGACAAACTGTAACTTCATATGGACATGCCCGCCTCCTTCAAGGGAAAATATGTCATCCCAAACACCTTTCTCAACCACCAATCTGGTCTCAACCCCTGCCCCATACCATAATTATTTCAATCAGCCTAACTACTAGAATGAAATCCAATGTTGCAATGCATGTGGAAAACGAATGGGGACAAACCTGTATGAGAAATCTCATTTCCCTCAGCATCTTGAAGTGTTATAATCAAATTGTCACGAAGGGTTGTCAACGGACTGTGCAATAGCAAACATGTTGGAATTCGATAGCAAAAGTCACAGCAAAATCAAAGGCCAAATACAGAAGCCAAAACAGTGTTCAGAATCATTACAATGAGAATTCGCCCTTGTCCCAAGTCTGATACTCTCTTTTTCCCATGGAAACTGCATTATGAAGGATGAACTTGGGTAAAACTTTCTTCTGTGTGTATATATATATATATATATATATATGTATCATTATATTGCCATTCAAGACAAGAAAATTCGAGCAAAAAGGATGTTCATTGACTACCTTTTACTGATATTTCTGAAGATGGTGATGATGAGTGGGGACCCTTGAAATCCAGAACTGAAATGAATCAAACGAGGATGTCTTGAAAAAAGAGTATGAACTTAACTGCCATTTTTGAATTACAGTTAGGAGAGTTCTTGGTACCTGAAACTTGGATGGTTCCTGGCATTTGAAAGAAAGCTTTGCGGTGAGACTAGAAAAGTGCAGATGATGATAAGAAATTAACCAGTGACTAAATCTAGCATTATCATTTCAATTTGAAGAAAAGCAAAGGTTGCACCCGGGAGAGTTTAGAAGCTGTAATGGATGGAAAAATATATGCGGCTGGACTTGCAGTATAGGTTACATAACGGACCCCACTACTTCAAAATTATTTATTACTCATTTCATAGGTGGGAAGTGAGGGGGAGCCAATCTCTATCTTTTGTCTCGCTTTGGAGCTAATTGGTCCAGATGCCTGCTGGCCCTTTCACCGTCGTCTATTAAGGCAACTTCGCAGAAAGAGAATAAGGAACTACCTCTCTGTTTGTTTTTGGTAGCTTTGGTTTTGTGGTTAATCAAAGCAAATTAGAGTTGGTTGAGTTGGTAAAATTCGATTTTTTTAAATGATTTAAATTCAATTTTCGTTATTAATTATTTTTTTTAGCCGCCATGTAAATCCAGTATAAATTCTTTTGAAATTTGTGATCGTCCTGAAATAGGAAATTCCATGTCCTAGACTTTAATTAAAAAAAAAAAAAGCAAAAGCACACTTTCACCGCTAAATTACATTGTCTACACTGAATTGTTTTGCTGATGGCTAATGGAGACGATTCAACTAGTTAGGAGGAAGCAGACGTGATGAATGTCTTAGCCATGTCAGCACTGCTGTTAAAATCTAATTCAAGCTTTTAATATCCAATTTCATAAGAGTCGGGCAACAAAAACAAAATGTCCATCTTTGGTATGGAATGAGAGGTGTGAATCAAATTTAGGTAGAGATTTTGCACAAATAAACTGTTTGAGAACGGCCTTCTCTTCATTAATTCTTTTCCTTTCTTCAGGATCATTAGGACTGACTTTTCTTTTCTCTTCCGATATCCACTTGAGAACTGCTTAGAAAAAAGAATTTAGCAACAAACTAATAAGAGATCAAAATTTTAAGCTTTCAACTAATCATAACAACAGCTTTCCTTACAAGTTTTCTCAACCCATTGGCATAAATCTTCCCATAATCTCTTTCAGCTAGACAATATATCAAACAAACTCTAAACCGAACGGTAAAAACAAGATTAACTAAAAGAACATCAACCCATTGCTAAGAAACTAATGTTAGATTGAAAAATATAAATGCCAAAAAGAAAGTTTTGAATCCTCGACTTTGATCGAATTGAAGGTTCGAGTGATCGAACATTTGAAAGGGCCCTCGCAGCCTGGCCCTTCCACCTCCAGCTTTTCTGTCAACTGAACTCTTTACGGCCCATACAACTTCTTTATTTATATATTGGCCCAAGAAAGCCATTAAAGCCATTTCTCAATCTATTCATCTCTTTTTTTAATTTAAGAAAAAAAATCTTTGGGTCTTTGTTTTTTTTTCCATCCAAATGACACGACTATATTCAATTAGAAGTTACTAATATTATTTACATCCACCAAATCATTTTTCAACAAAAAAACATGATATTTATGTTAATGATGAATAATAAAATGCGTTATTAAAAAGTATTTATTAATGAATAATATATATTTTAAATTAGAATCATAAATGAGGCGATTCATTTGTATGATATGAAAGAGTATAGGAATGGTTAAAGTATGTTAATTTTCAATATTTTTCTTTCAGATATCAAACTCTTCATCATCACAAATTAAATCAACCTAGTCTCAATAAATACAACATTAGATAAACATTCAACATTTCAATTAGAAATTATTTGCTTTAATTTAATTAGTGATCTTGATTCAGTGTGCCAATCCGTGATCCTTGTCATTAGCAACTAATTGAAAATGCTAAATAAGGAACCGAACTCATCTACTTTATTAATGTAAGTATATATAAATATCAAATTTTAAGAAAATTCAAAAGTTAATTAATTTATTTTTTCTTGATTATAGAAAAAAAAATACAAATGTTAAGATTTGAATTTAAATTTATTGAATTTTATTTTATAAAAATAATTGTATAAATCAATTAGATTATGCTTTCAGATTTAATTAATTTATTATGTATATACTATTTACTATATTTTCTCCCATTGAACATTAATAAATTAAACAAATCTATTATTTAAATGATGGCTATTCTTGTTTTTCTTCGATGTAGGTTTTTTTTTTCCAATTTAATACGGTAATATACAAATTCAGAGGTTGAACTAAAGTGGGTATAAAGCCTTGCATCATCATGACAAAGTCTTTGTTCAACCGCCCAAACAAAACTTAGTTTCTAACTGATTGTCTATCCCTGTAGCAGTGAACTGCTTCACTGGATCCCTGCATCAAAGAGAGAAGGCAGACCCAGTCTCTAGTCTCCGGTACAAATCCAGTTGTTTTTTTGTTTGTTGTTGTTGTCGTCGAACCTAGCTACTAGCTATATATTTAAAGCTAGCTACTATGATCTGACTTACACGAAGACAATATCCAAGGCAAAATTACTATCTTCTAGGCGACTTTCATCTAAAGCCCAACCAAAAAAAAATGCAGTATGCCTGTAAACCTAGCTAGGCTTTGATTCATCGATCACCATCATGATCAATTACTGAGCAAATTTCCTTTGAAACTCGTGATTTTCTAAATTACCATTGAAAGCCTAGTTATTGTTATGACGACTTACCAAAAATATGTGTCAGCAATGAAAATTTTTGGTCACGGTGGCGACCATGTTTATGAGAATTGGATAAAATATCCGAAAGCAAAGACGAAAGAAAATAATAAAATGAAAAGAGAGAGAGATAGAGAGAAATTGAACCTTAAAAATTTATTAAGTTCATAACATAGATGAACAAGAGATCCATAATTTTGGTTATCAACCTGTTTAAATCCACCTAATCAAGCTCTGAACATCTCCATGCAATTAAATTTTATCTCTAACATCATATAATAAAGCTAAGAAACCAATATATAAAAGCCTAGCTACTTGAGAAATTCAACCATGAGCAAGTCCATACGATAAGGCCATCAGCAGGATGGCAGCTTCTTTCTCATCCTGAGGGAAAACTCGATGAAAAGCCGAATTCTTGCTCAGGATTATCCTCAAATCCTCAAAACACAGCTTCTTTCCACTTTGCGATTGGGAACCACGTTTGCAGTTTTTATTCTTGAACTGTGGAACACAACCATTACTTGATCTCTTGGCCTTATGTTGAACCTTAGTCTTCATCCTTGGCGTTGTCTCAGCTACAACAATAGTGCCATTCGCCGCTGCAGCTGCTGCGTCAGCCATAGCTCGTCTTGCTTTTCTTTGTCGAATTCCACAGGCGTTGCAAAGGGACTGCAGCCAAAAGACCAAAAGCTAATCAATTTTCTCCAAAAAAAAAAGGTAGTAATTGTCTTTAACTTAGATTTTAGAACCAGGGTTTGATCAGAAAAGAGAGGAAATTTAGTTGTACCATAGGGCCTCTAGGTCCACTCCTCCAAAGAGGAGTCTTAGTTGTGTTGCAATCAGCACAAACCCTAATTGTGCTGTTGTTGTTATTATTGTAAGAAGAGTTGCTGCTGTTATCTGGAGATGATGATGGCTGCTGCTTCTGATCTTCGAAATTTTGCGTAGAGCTATTCGATAAATCCGTGTGTTCCGAGCTCATCATCATCTTCCTCATCATCCTCATCTTTGAAGACATCCACTTTGTAGAACTATTCTCATGACTCTGACGACTTTCATTAACCCTTTCATCTTTTTTCCATATTGATAACTTGAGCCCACTGTCACTGTCCAATGGTCCATCTTGTGGAACATATATTTTTGCCTGAAATTAATTAAGTTATATACGTAATTGATCATTTATCCCAAAAAAAAAAAAAAACCTATGATCACATTAAAAAAACATGACATATACCTCAACTTCTTGATCTTGTAACTGCTGGGATTCCCTTTGATTATATCCTGCTTGCCCTGGAACAGTTGAGTTGAAGAAAATAGGACAAGTAAGAGAAGAAGAATTAGAAGATAATGAAGAAGGTTAAGATTTTAAGCTAAAAAGCTGGTGGTGTTGGTGTTGATAATCTTCGTTAAGGTCAATAGGATAAAGAGATGAATAACAATTACTAGAAGTCATCAAGAGAGATCAGCTAAACAGAGAGAACATTGAAGCAACCAATCCAATGATCAACAGTAGTGATCTAGGTGTTGTCCGGTAAAGGTGCAGGATGTTTGAGATTAATTAGCTAGGGAGATATGACGGGAGGTGATCAAAGATAGAGAGAAAAAGGCAAAAAAGGGCCTACGCCACTGAGTGGTAACTCCCTTTTAAAGCAGAGATAGAGAGCCAATAATTAAGAGGTTCACGTGACTTCATATGTGACACACGAACAAGTTAAAAAGACAAACGAAATGGAGAAGTGTGGAATGCTAGCTACTGCTCCATCCTATATATTCAAAAAAAAAAAATGATAATAATACACTTTAAACACATAGCTAGCTAGGATTAATACTATATATAAATGTCATCGATCCAAATTTTGATTTTCACATTGTAACCTTATGAATCTCACATTAAAAATATATTTGTAAAAATTTATTACGACTATAACATTGAAAATTAAAAGATGACGAAAAATAGCACCCAGAGCTAAGCTAGAATATGAAGACACAAATGATGAGCCATTTTTTAGTCAGGTACGTACAAAAAAGGGAATTAAATCTCCAAATATATAAAAGCAGCATCTTTCTAATTAGGGTATAAGGAATATTGGAGTATATATGGTCCATATATATAATTCGAGATGATCATATAGGCATTTTTAAACAATTATTAAATACTTAGAGGATGAAGTTCATGAATTTTTTAAATTATTAAATAAAAATTAAAATTAATAAATTAAAAGGTTTTATTATATAGATCAAGTATTTAAGTTTTAATAAAATTTTGATATAATTTTTATATAAGTATTTTTAGTAAAAATTTTGATAAATTTTTTATCGTTAAATAAATACCAATTAAATTTGACTTATTATCAATATTTTTAATATTTTTATATATTATTGATCTTCGTATTAAACTTTATCAATCTATCAATTTAAATTTATTATTTATGTTTTTATTAAATCAATTTTTTTTTAAAATTCACAAACTTTATTTAAAATACTTCATCTAAATTTTATAGTTTGGGTTACAATTTTCATGGGAAACATATATATCTCCATTAATTCTCCACCACCTTAGTCTTGCCAAAAAGCATTGAATACTTTGTGCAGGCCAAAGACAAATGCATCATCACCCCACACCTTTGCCACCATGCATATGTATCTTATCCATTTTCTTTCACCAGCATTCACTCATGTCATTATCATTGCTTTTTTACCTATAACTCTATGAACATTTCCCTTTTACCCAGGAAACGTTTCGATATGAGCATCATGTTAATATATAGTCCACTATCTAGCTTGAACCA